CCAGATGTCATGATCTTAGTTTTCTTAATGTTGAGTTTCAAGCCAACGTTTGCACTCTCCTCCTTCACCTGCATCAAGAGGCTCTTTAGTTCCTCTTCACTTTCTGCCATTAGAGTGGTATCATCTGCATATCTGAGGTTGTTGATATTTCTCCCAGCAATCTTAATTCCAACTGGTGATTCATCCAGCGCCGCCTTTCTCATGATGTGCTCTTCATATAAGTTAAATAGGTAGAGCGACAATATACAGCCTTGCCAAACTCCTTTCTCAATTTTGAACCAATCAGTGGTTCCGTGTCCAGTTCTCACTGTTGCTTCTTGACCCACATATAGGTTTCTCAAGAGACGAATAAGATGGTCTGGTACTCCCATCTCTTTAAGAACTTGCCACAATTTGTTGTGATCCACACAATCAAAGGCTTTAGCATAGTCCATGAAGCAGAAGTAGATGTTTTTCTGGAACTCCCTAGCTTTCCCCATGATCCAATGTATGTTGACAATTTGATCTCTAGTTCCTCTCCCTCTTCGAAATACTGCCTGTACTTCTGGTAGTTCTTGGTCCACATACTGCTGGAGCCTAGCTTGTAGGATTTTGAGCATTATTTTGCTAGCATGTGAAATGAGTGCAATGGTGCGGTAGTTTGAACATTCTTTGGCATTGCCCTTCTTTGGAATCGGAATGTAAACTGACCTTTTCCTATCCTGTGGCCAGTGTTGAGTTTTCCAAATTTGCTGGCATATGGTAATATCAATAAGAACAGCAGCATATGGTTATACGTTCCTTTTTTAAAGAGTAGGGAAAATAGATAAATTAATAGGCAGTAGCAGTGTTAACTGTTTGAGGCAACTTCAAGTGCCTTAAAAATTGGGTTATAATAGCTTCTGTGAGGAAAGGAGGGGCCCAATGACAGTTGCATACACACTGTTAAAGTGGTCTTAACAGAAGGAACATGATGTCATCTCTGTCCTGGGCAGAGATGAAGCAGATTATGTAGACGTCTTTGTCTCAGTCTTTTGACCCAGTTTTGTGGAAATTGAAAATGTGCTTGGTCACTTTGTTCAATTGCCTTTACTAGGAGAGACATAAGGGATATGACCCTGCTCTGCCCCCCCCGCCCCCCACCTCAAGGTTTTGAATACTGTGGCTTTCAGTATCATGAACTGTAGTATTTATTTAGGTACTCTCTAGATCAGGGGTCTCAAACTCGTGGCCCGCAGGCCAATTGCCGGGACGGGGGGGGGGCACGAGGGAGGGGCCCTGCGGCCTTCAAAGTGCTGGCAGCACCCGGGCCGGCCACAGGATGAGCGGCCCACCACCACCGCGGCAGTGGAATACTTGATGCGGCCCAGCCTCACCCAGACTCTACTTCCAGCGGCCCCCAGGTAAGTTGAGTTTGAGACCCCTGCTCTAGGTTCACATGATCAAGGAAGGAAAAGAATCCAGGACGGCTTTTTTCTCCTGCTTATGCTGGTTGCACACTCCTTCATTTCTGTAATTACCCCTGCTGTGCTCAGTCTGCCATGTAATCCAGACTTGATGAGGTGGACAGCAGAGGTTGCATTCAAACCAGTCTGTAACACATCTCTTGTTCTAGGGTTCTGGTTTGGAAGCCACTTTTACTGCCTACTCCTGCTATATTCAGATGCTGTAGCAGTCCATAGTAGTCTCAGAGTACATCTGAGGACTTGCTTGCCCTCATTGCACAAAAATTGTAATGCTCTGTATTGTACATATTCTTACATAAACCTCTTATTATACAGTGTTTAGAAAATATTTTGGGGGAGTAAATGTATGAATATTTTGTCTGAAACATTTTATTCATCATCCAGAAAGAAACTGTAACTCATTCTTCTCTGGAGTCATTTGAATAAGAAAAGATTGTTTCTATTTAAGGAGCTGCTTTCCTCACCAGACCTTTGATGGGCCAAGAAAGCATTTTCACAAGCAACAGAAAAAATATATATTAGCTGTTTTAGTTAACTACAATAAGAAATACCTCATGTTTCTATGAGGAATTTGAAGGACCCTCTCTAGCCGCTCTGTAGCTACACTGATTTCAAAATTAGGGAAACTTCATGAATGGACTCGTTTTATCCAGGGTTTATGTCAGTTATATAAGACTTTTGTCTTTAATGGTAGATATACACTTAGATATGATACAATTTGTTCTGCTTCTGGCAGATGCAATCAATTGAACTGTATGAAATAAATGAATATACTCTTTTACTCTTTGGCAGGTGGTCCTTAAAATCAACGGACAAGTAGAAGCTTCTTTATTCTTCCAATAAGAAAAGCCTTCTAAGCCCTCTGTTCTTGATGCTCCTTCAAACAGCAATTTAAGCATAGGAGTTAGAGGAACTTCAGATGATGTAGTAACCTAACTATACAGATGAGCGTCACAGTCTTATTTAATGCCAGAATAGGAAAGAAGCAAGAAGAGTACCCTGGCCCCACCCTTCGGTTCCTGGCCTCCACTGTGTTAGGTGTTCATGCCTGGAATAGACTTTTAATAAAGTTTGCTTGGATTACCCAAGGAGAACCCTTTGTAGGCACATGCAGGCTTCTGTTTACAGTCAGACAAATGGAACTAGAAGGCTACTCCAGACATTCCTACTCAACGCCCCAGGGGCCAGAGACATTGGGAGAGGGACTGGTATGAGGGGCGTTCAATGTATTCTCGGTATCGGGTTGATTTGCTATTGATGTGGGTAATTTAATTATTTCATAAATTTCAAATAAGTGATCATTAGTTCCCTAGTAATCTCAGTGAAAGATGACCATGATGACTGACAGGACAATGTTGAAGAAACTGCGCTGTGATTAAGTTCCTTACAAAACAAGGAAAAAGTCAAAAAATCATTCACGAAGAGATGGTGGCCATTTACCAGGACACTGCACCTTCATTATCTACTGTTCAGAAGTGGTCAAGTGAATGTAAAAGGGGCAGAGAAAGCATTGAAGACGACCCTCACTTGGGCAGGCCGGTTACTGCCGCTATGAAAGAAAATGTGAAAAAAATTGAGAAACTTGTATTGGGAGATGCCCAAATAAAAATCAAAATGTTAGCAGAGATGACAAACCTATTCATTGGTACCATATTTACTATTTTTCATGACCATCTTAACCTTTCGAAGGTCTGTGCAAGATGGGTGCCGCAAATGCTCATGGCGCCTCAGAAATAAGTGCGAGTTGAGTGCTGTAGGGAGTTCTTAGAGCTCTGTGGTGAAGATCCATCGAGTATTTTTGACCGGATTGTTACTGGAGATGAAACTTGGGTTTATCACTATGACCCTGAAAGTAAGCAGGAGTCCCTGCAGTGGCATAAAAAAAGTGCTGACCCTCCAAAGAAATTCAAAGTCACTCCATTGGCCGGAAAAATCATGGCCACAGTATTTTGGGACTCAAAGGGAATTTTATTGATCGAGTACACGAAAAAAAGGTGAAACCATAAATGCAGCATCTTACACTACCACTCTGCATAAGTTAGGCAATTAAAAAAGGCGGGAAAAACTAACTGCAGGTGTGTTGCTTCTTCACAACAACGCGCCTGTTCACACGGCACGTGCTTTGAAGGCTGCTGTGCGAGACTGGTTTCGAAGAAATAAACCACCCACCCTGTAGCCCGGACCTGGCCCCCAGTGACTACTACCTGTTCCTGAATTTAAAAAAAGATCTTCATGGAAAGCGATTTTCCAACGATGAAGAGCTCAAGGTGGCAATTAATGCACATTTTTTAGACAAGGAGGAAGGGTATTTTTTTACAGGGAATTGAAAAGTTAATTTCTAGATGTAATAAGTATATTGAAGTTATGAGGGATTACGTTGAAAAATAAAAATTATTTCAATCTATTATTCTTTTTTCTTCATGTTGATACCGAGAATACATTGAATGCCCCTTGTATGCCTGGCCCTGTTGCTCGTGCTTAATGTCTGACTGGGGTTATAATCTGGCAAGATGTAGTGACTAAGACGTTGTTGCTGCTTACATGTATTGTTTCCTTCAAAAAGCTGGATCTCCTTTCATATCTATTGCTCTATGTATGTTCACACCATATTATTTGAATTTGATAAATTGAAAATCTGTGTTGTTACAGTTATTTTTTTAGTTGTTATGCTTTTGTTTGGTTTGTTGAAATTCACAGTAAAAATAAATTTACAAGACTAAGGTGAGATCTCTGGCACATTATTTGCCATGAATTAACTTAGTAAATCATTTCAAGTTCCATTTTGCAGTAGAAGAATAATAATAGTGGCAGCTTACCTGTGAAGATTATGACACAATAATTTATACTAAATACTTTGAACACTGTGTTATATTACTCCTTTCCAATGATAATTTGAGTACATAAAATTATCTTTTTGAATATTTACAGATGTCTCTAATGGGATTGTAACCTTTTTGCCATTGGAACACGTGCATGAATGCAGATACGAGGTCAAGAGGTGCAATATTTATCAAATTCGACTTAGACACATACAAGACAATGAATGGTGGGTGCTAGGAAGAGTTTTCTTTTGTATATCTTTGTCTTTGGATGTCTTGTATGATTACTATAGAGTTTGTGGTCCCAGATTAGACTGATTACCTAAAATATATGGATAACAATATTTCTTTGGAATTGTCAGTATATATATATGTGGTTCAGTTATACTAAACTTTTTAAAAATAACCAGATTTAGAATTTGCCAATGGGAGCACGTGGTACATTATACAACAACTTTACTAGAGTCCAGTTTGTTTCCTTTAATTAGTGTGTTAAGTAGCACAGTTCAAAAAACTTGTAACTTTAGTTCAAGCCCTACATGTTTTGGATGGAGACTACCTAAAAGGCTGTTTTCTTCTATATGAACCTACCCACTATTTAAGATCTGTAAAAGGACTGGGTGGGTGGCTTTTTGTAGCATCGCAACAGTGGAAGAGGTATGATTCTCTGGGATGCTTAAGAGGGCCTTCTTTGTTTCCTCCTCCCAAAACTTGGAACATTTTTGTTCCAGCAGCCATTGGGGCACACAGTTTTAATAAAGTTAATCTTATCTCCTGCTTCTGTCTGGCTTCTAAGATTTATGGTGAAACTGATTTTATCCTTTTATGGATAAAATTTATGGATATTTTTAAATTGCTGTAAGCTGGCCCAGATATTGTGATTGCAATGGAAGGGTGGAGCCTTATTCTTTCTAAATTTATGTTCAGAAAATAAGTTGCATAAATGTAGGTTGTTCTCTCAGACTGCCATCACACCTTCCAATAGGAATGAGCTTTTGCAAATTGGATTAAAATAAGGCTAGGTTTTCAATTATACCGAATGTTTTCCATATCATTTTTGGAAAGAGGTTTTTTTATATAGCCATGCTACAATTATGCAACAGCTAGTTAGTAGAAAGCTTCTATTTTTAGTAATTCCTAATGTAAGACAGAAATAGAGTTATGCTTGATCAAACATTGGCACAATTGAATTAAAAACATTTTATCACTGAACTGCTTTGATTCTTTTAAAGGTCTGTGTCAATTTTATCATCATCTCCGGAAAACTGTATTTCAGATGGAATTGTATATCCTAAAACAGTGTGGCTTGGAAGAGAACTGCTGTCTAAGCTGGCTAAATGGTCCACTGAAACTGTGAAACAGGAATTTAAGAGTACATTGTCTCTTATTTCTGTGGCAAGATACAGCAAAAAGTATCAAGATCTAAAGGAAAAATACAAGGAAATTGTAAAGGTAAACGGAAGAACATTACCTTTTTAATTTCACTTTTTACTTAAAATATATGTAGAGGCCATCTTAATATTGCATGCATGTTGAAATTTGTCCATCTATTTAGCCAGTAAGTTTGTATCTATTTGCATTCTATCTCCTTATCTACCCAAAAGTACATCCATGCTGATCAATTTTTACTGGTTATTGTAATTTGCTTATAAAAGAGAGGGTTATTATGCAGTTTCACTATGTGAAATGATAGTCAGTTTTTAAGTACTACTTTAAGGCTATGCAATAGAAGTCTGTAGAGGATTTGCCAGGGTCAGAGTTTAATATGACTGCTGATGCAACAGAATGTATATTTAATATGTCTCTTAGCATATTGAAAGTTGATGTCCTTATATTTTTTAACGTTCCCAAAACATTTCCATTATTTCCCCATTCACTTCTGCTGCTAGTTACACCTTGAAAGGAGGGGCTACCTACTAACAAAGCAAGGGTCAGTGCAGAAGGTAACTTAATATGCAAGACTGACTTAGGCAAAAATGTGCTACTGCCAGTTGAGCCACATGATGTATAGAAATGCATTGTTCTTTTTGCCAAAGCTGTGGTGTCAAAAAGGGACAGACTCTTCCACTGTGGGTGATAATACCTAGCCCCAAAAATAATTGAGTACTGGAAACATAACATCACCCCTCAACCAAACTAGTTAGATTGATCTTGACATGAAAGACTGATTAAGGAGGCATCCTAAGGGTGAATTACCCTTATATTGACTGGATAATTGTGTTTTCTAGTCATGATTACGGGGTATTTTTAAATACCCTAAGGGTGTGTCCCTATGCATGTTTAGACAGAAAAAAAGCCTTTATTTATTTATTTTTCAATTTTTATCCTGCCTTTTTCCTGCAAAGGGCTCAAGGCAGCTTACATCATTCTCCTCCTCCATCTTATCCCCACAACAACAACCCTGTGAGGTAGGTTGGGCTGAGAGTCTGTGACTGGCCCAAAGTCACCCAGTTGGCTCCATGGCTGAGCGGGGACTAGAACCCAGATTGTCTGAGTCCCAGTCCCTTGCTCTTAACCACTACACCACACTGGCTCTGTTGGACAACTTTGTAGAATGTCCAAAGATGTTGGACACCTTTTTAGGATTTTCCCCCTGTCTAAACTTCATTTATTTAAGGCATTTTTATACCATTCCTTAGTCAAACAACTCTCAGGACAGTTTACATCATGGGATTGTGCCCTAAATGGCTGTGCACTAGAACAGTTGGTCATGAAAACAACCAGATAGAAATTGACGCTGAACTCAGTCCTAAAGCCCCAGGACAGCATAAGATATTGAGCATTTGGCAATGTGACTTCAAATTCACATCTGACTCTTCTAAAAGAGGATACAGAGCATTGGGAAAAAAGAAATTGAAAGGAAAAGTCATGAAGGTCTCCAGCATGCCTGGTGGTTACTCAAAACCACATTAATAAAAGTTCATAAACGGTGTACATTGCAGGTCAGAAAAGCTACTACCAAATAGTTTTACTCATGGAGATGGGTAGACACCTGTTCTCCCCTGCAGAGGAGGGCAGGACGTGCTCCAACTGAGTGAAGCTCAGGGAACCAAGGTTCAATTTGGATGCCAGGAAGCACTTCCTGACAGTTAGGACCCCGAGGGTATGGAATGGGCTTTCACGGGAGGTGGTTGAGGCCCCATCGGTGAGGGTGTCCAAGGATAGGCTAGACATGCACATGATGGGCATGTCATGAGTGGAGCCAGCTGGAGCTGGGGGTCAGACTAGATGGTCCAGGAGGCCCCTTCTGACTCACTCTGTTTCTATGTTTCTAAATCCAGAAGGGTTAGCATTGTAAAGGCAACTGATAGAGGGGAAAAAGGGGGGAAAATTTTCATTTTCTTCCTTCAGAAAATGAAAATTTTGTCAGAACAAGAGGGCTTTTCTTATATTTACTTAAGAGGACTAAAGGCGTATATGTATGCAACCAAATGAATTATAATATGGGGAAGTGCATTGTGAACTGTTCTGCATCTCCACAGTACAAGGATGGATTTCCCTTTGGTGAGAGGGTCCTTTTCTTTTGTGGAATGACTGTTTCCCTTTAGTGAGTTTTCCAATTACAGATTGTTTTTGGGTAATATTCAAAAATAACATGCATTGATAGAGAATGTCTACAGAAATTAACTGGCCATCAGTAAATGTTAAATTAACAGTAATTTTCTCTACCTTTTGTTTCACTTCTATATGATATACAGGCAATTGAGGCTTAAACGTCTAAGGCAGGGATTCTCAAACTTCACTGTAGTAGGCTTATTCAAGCCAGAAAAAAGCACTAAGCTTCAATAAGTTACAAGCCAATGCTTGGTTCTTTTCCTTGGCTTAATGAATGATCAGATCAAATGAAGGGGGAACAGGAATATATCATTCCGTATGTTCTACTGTTCTTGAAAATGTATTTTTTGGGAAATAAAAAAATATATTTTTTGTCTCATCTATTCCTGTCAGTGACTGCAAGGATTACAGGTCAATTCCAGATTGTGGAATGCACTCCCCAGAGAGATTCACCTGGTGCCGAGTTTATATTTTTGGCGCCAGGTCAAAACCTTTTTTATTAAACCATCATTTTAAAAATTAGTATTTTAATGAAACAGACAAATTTTATTGGCTATGTATGTTATTTATTGTTTAGATTGTTTTTAATGTATTTGATTTTATTGATTGTGAGCCGTCCCAAGATTCCATGCATAAGGAACGCCATATAAAAGTTTTAAACAAATAAATAAATTCCAATTAAAGGAAATGTTACCCAAGCACAAACCCAACAACATGGCCAAAACCACTTTGGAGTTTTATCCAATGTTTGAATCTGTCTAGTTGTGTAGCTAGAAAGGGTTGTATGGTACATACTTGCACACCATAGGATTGCTATTTGGCAATATGAGGCTCTACTGCCATAAGGTTTGAATTAAGCCTAAGATACATTGGCAGTGGGGCAGGGGTTATGTATGAGCATGTGTTTTATATATCTGCAATTAATTATATTGCCTCTTTGCTTTTTATCTGCAGGTTTGGCCTGAAGTAACAGATCCTGAAAAGTTTGTATATGAAGATGTTGCTATAGCTGCATATCTATTGGTAGGTGGTGGTTTGTCCTGTGGGCATGTCTCTCCCAAATTCCCTTTCCAGCAGATCAAGGTGAAATCATTCTGGTTAAAAGAAAATGCCCCCATCCACAGTGGCAGGTACTAATGATAGCCTTAGTTTAGCACAAAGAAGAGCATCCAGTGTTCTAGGGGAAAGGGATGGAATGCTCCTTAGAAATTTATTCTGCATAACCTCCTGATAGTCTGTTTGACTGAACCCTTCAATTTTTGCACCATACAACATTTGTGTTAAGGTCTTCTCAAATATTTTAAATGTTGTGTTCTCAGTTACAATAATCACAATTATCTGTCATGTACATGAGGTTCAACCAATTGGGCTGATTAGTGTCCTCTAATTTGTAGAAGCAACTGAATAAATATACAGAACCCCATACCTATCCTAGAAACGATTGTGATCTTTTAGCACGCTAAAAGCCACCCAGAGGTGCTGTTGTGAGCTGCCCAGAGGTGCTGTGGCACAACTGGGCGGCATACAAATGTTTTAAATAAATAAATAAAATACTTTAATTCACTCAAGTCTTTCCAACTTGTTATTTAGTTGTAATGATATAAGTATCATTGTTCTTTTTCAAAATGAATAGTGAATATTAGAAAGAACATTGCATATTGCTTTTCACAGACTTGTTCTTTGAGCCAACCAATGTGAGTACACAGCATCCTCCATCATCTATCACCACAGGCTCTGATGGAGATACTAACTTTGAGCCCCTTGATGATGTGTTTCAACATTTAGCAGTATCACCAGACAACATAAATACAAAATTACGTAACACTTTAAAAAGCAGTATGATATACTGTTAAAGCTTAAAATAAGCCTGTTTTTTATGCTTGATAAAAATAGATTTCTTGATTCAAACTATCCCTTTTTAGACACCAAAAACATAGTTTAGGCTTATTAAGGGAAAATTGTTGCTGTTTGGCCATCTTGCAAAAGTTGCTATTTGGCAACTTTGCATTTCTATCCTATATTTTTCCTCCTATATAAAAAAGTACTGGAATATTTGAGAGTGACCACATCTTTTCCTATAAAAGAGGGGCTACTTAGATGGAGTACAGTTAAAACAGCTACGATTTTAAAAGCAATTTCAAGTTAGTTTTTCCTCGCCAGATTAAAAATCTTGTGTTGGGTCTAAAGCAGCTGAATTCAATAGCCTACTCTAAGGCTCCTGAACTTATGAACAGGCATGCATGAGATTTATTCTGTGGAATGTACAAAACATTCTGACCCCTCTGTCCTTTTCTTTATGTTTCTCCCTTCATGCAAGTAGCTTGCAAAGGAGGCAAAGTAGCTCTCAAATACCCCAGTGGCAAGCTGTAATTAATCTCTCTTAAATCAGTTTATCATTTTTACTCATCATTTACAGTTTCTAAAATAAGGGTTTTGTCTTCTTTTAGATCCTTTGGGAAGATGAAAGAACTGAGAGAAGTCTATCCAAGAAGCAGTGTTTTATGGATCTTGGTTGTGGAAATGGTCTCCTAGTTCATATATTAAGCAATGAAGGGGTAAATTACTTGCAATGAGAGAAAAAGAAAATTTTGCATTAATCCTCCATAGACTCCCACTCTTCACTCTGTTAAGCAAAATAAAATGCTACTGAGTTGTTAGGATTGCCAATCCTATTCTCCTGCCAGCTGTCTGGCCATGCTGCACATTCTGTCTAGTGTCATTTATGCCATCCCATGGGGAACTGGCAGTAGGGTACGGTATTTTTTTCTCAAGGATGGGGAAAGCTCCATATGGATGCTTTTTTATTGACCCATGGCTGGAACATGGCTGGCATTCTCCGTGGGCTGGGGACGTGCAGTCCCTCAGTTGCCCTTAGACTTTTGGCCAGTAGGTGAGACCATTTAATGCTCAGGGTTTGTTTATTTGTAATGGTATATTTTGGTGTGCTATTGTGATCTGTTATGTTGCATATTACTTTAGAAGCCTTTTGACAGAAAAGCAGGCCACAAAGCAGGCTTCAGGCATGGTTAAGAGTTGATATTATCTCAGAAGAAAATATGGCTAGCAGATAGGTAGCAAAAGACATACTGCAAGATTTTATTAGTTACATGTATAAATATTTAGTTCCTATTAAGCATAAGCAGCATGTATGTTGAGATGGAGGGAGAAGGACTTCTAGACCGAAATTATAACAATTTACACAGTGCCGCCACCTCTCACTTTCAAAACTGAGTATTGTTTGTGCTCCATATGAATTTGTAGTGAATTCAGGAAATATGGTAGTAGTCTGTCAATTGTTTGTATAACTTCTGGGAAGATAAGATGTATATTGTAAGGGATTATGAATATTACTTACTAATTCGCACATGAAATCTTTCAGCATCCAGGAAAAGGGATCGATATCAGGAGAAGAAAAATATGGGACATGTATGGCCCACAGACATGCTTGGAGGTATTGTTGGAATGCTTGTTTTCTGAATGGTATTTTTACCAACAGTTTGCTTAGATCTTCTTTTTATAAATGCAGTTCTTGATGCAATTTTAATTCAAAATAATATAGACAAAGTAAATAAAATTGTGGTGTGTTTAGGTTGAAACTGTTAATATTTCCAGAAAAATAGCTAGCAGTTTTGCTGCTTGCGCCTCCCTTGTCCCTGGAATTAAGTCTTTTTCTCAACTCTGTATGTTTATTTTATAACATTTTTGCTGTGAAGAAGAGACGTGATCTCTGCAGGCAGAAGTTCACAGTTTTGAGAACTGTAAACCAAGTAAACCAGATATCTTCTAGATAGAAAAACTGCCCAATAATCCTAGAGAAACCTCTGGAAGAGCATGGCATTGTGAATGGATTAATGGAATTCTTTTACCAAAAAATTAAACATTGAATGAATATACAACCTCATGCTGCACAGTTAAAAATGAATCATTATTTAATTACTGTGAGCCACCCAGAGAGCCTCTGGCTATGGGGTAGCATACAAATGCAATCAATCAATCAATGGTGAATAACTTTTGAACTATAATGTATCTTTAGATAGATTTTTCTTCAAAAAGTATTTTATTTAAAAATCCAATTTAAATTTAAAAGGTCTGATTTAAACTAAAAGATCCAATTAATTTTTTTAAAATCCTATTTATTTATTTATTATTCATTCATTCATTCATTCAGTCATTGGTTTTTATCCACTTTGGTTGGTGATCATCCCCACATCTTTTAGAAGCCATTCAGTAATCTAACTTGTGTCAAATATTTCCTGTTTGCTTTTCTTGAATTTCCCACCTCTCTGCTTCATTGGACAAGTCCAAATTGAATTATTATAAAAGAAGGAGAAAAACCAACTGTAGATCTAATATAAATTAGGGTAGATTTCAGTTGTAAAGGAAGATTAGCAATATACGTGACTTGTTATGTAAGCAGTTGTCTTGCTTCCTTTTAGGAAAATGTAGTCAGACCAAACAGTCTGTATCCAGATGTTGACTGGTTAATTGGAAATCATTCTGATGAACTGACACCATGGATCCCTGTAATTGCAGCCAGGTACCAAACTGCAGTGGGCACAACACTGATCTTAGGATGAAGAGCCAATATGAAATCATTCATTTATTTATGAGTTTCCTATCATATTTATGGTACATTAAACAAATATGGAGCAAACAAGGCTGGTATAACAAAACCAAGGAACAGGAACTGTATTTGAAGAATGCATTTAGTGAGAAGCTCCACTAAAAACACAGCGTGAGTTTGCTTGAATTGAGATCTGGATGAAAAAAGAATGCCTGGGAAGGGCATTTTTGTTTATTAAAACATAATTCAGAGAAAAGAGTTGACAACCTGTACCTGATTGGGATGTATTTGCTTTAAGGATTTGAATGTCTTGTCTCCATATTACGTAGCTCTTTACCTAATATCTGGAAGGCATGCTTTTTGGGGTATGGGGAAGGGGAAGGGGAAGGAGAAGGCTCGGAAAGTGGAAGCTGCAAATCAATAGTTTGGCAGGATAGTGATATGAAACTGCTAGTGGGAGGGATGTACCTGCCAGGGGGAAGCAGTACCGTCTGATATATCAGTATCATTTCCATATTAGTTGGGTCATAACAGTACAAAATGCTATATACAATGAATAAAATTAGTTGATAGATTACAATGGACAGGAAATTGATCAACCAAAATTAGTGTAGCTACTACAGTAACAATTTATAGCATTGGAATCAACAAACACAGCAAGAAATTTTTATAATTCCAAAATAAAAATTCTTGGCTTAGGGTCAGATATCAGTGCAAGACACCCCAGACTCTCCTTGACCAAATAAGTTTTGAAAAAACCTAATAAGAAATATGACTAAGTCTCTCTTCAGAATGCAATTGTTTTGCTTCTGAGGCATATTTTCATGATTTTTTATCTGTTAATTGCTTTTCTAGGTGTCCATTATTGTTATTTATTATAAGCAAAAGTACAAAAATATTCTAATACCCGTACTACAAAGTAATACCAATATTAATTTATTATCCTGTTTGATTTCCACACTAAAGATTAGTTCATACAGCAGTCACCAAATGCTCTATTAAATGATGCTCCAAGGTGGCAATATTCATTCTATAGAACATTTATGTGTAGTGCTTTTGTTGTAGGAAAGATTGCTTTAGTCTCACTTACTTTCTCCAAGATACTCAGGGTGGTAGACATAGGTTTCTCCCCCATCCCTGACCCCCATTTATGCTCTCAGCAGACCAGTAACATAGATTAGGCTGGTGTGATTGTGTCATTATCACCCTGTGAGATATACGGCTGACCTGAGATTTGAACTCTCCTAGGTTGTACTCAGATGCTGTAACCATGGTAGCATGCTGGTATCTGCATTTGCTTCATACACTTCATTTTTTAAATTTATTTTAAAGTGCGGTGAAAACAGCTTGTGCCACAAAACTAGGAAAAATTAATGAGATTTTTTTTACTAAATTAAATATTTGTTTGGAGGAGTCCTTTCATTGGTTAGATACTCAGCTGTGGGGCAGTATAGAAAATAATATAATAGCGAAAAAGTCCCTAGTGAAAAGTCCCTAGTGACAAGTGAAAAAGTCACTTGTCATCTGCAGTTAAAAGAATCAGGTGGCAGGTGATGAGAGAGATTGGAGCGCTCCGGTCACAATATTGGCTTAGAGATGGGCAAATAGTCTGATCAGATATTAAGCTGCTTTCTGTGTCTGTCATGTCACAGTGTGGAAACTAGGCAATGTGGTAGATACGTCCTTCAGAACAAACTGCAAGCAAATAGTTCAGGGAGAAAACCATGCAGTTTGAGCTGGATTAAAGGGGTTGCATGCAACCGGTATTCTTTCACCTGGATGTGATAGTTGAAAACCACCTTGGCTCCATTGTTCCACATCCCAAGAAAGTACTCTGAAACTTTAGCCTGAGGTGGAATCTGAAATGGCCATAGTTATACTTGTTTACTACTTGTTTACTTTACCCTTGTCCCTCGTGGCTACTCATCAAAGCCAAGGACTTTGGCTTTGATGAAATGTAAAGTTTTATCTTCCAGAAAAGGTTGCAGGTAGGGGGAATTGAGTCTGAGAGATTGATCCCAGCCTCAGATGCTCAAAGCTGCCGAGCACAAAGTTCATGGCTGAGCAAGGACTTTCAACTTGAGTTGTGAGGGGTTTTTCAAGATGTGTTTGCAAAATGCTCATTCCCAGATGTGTGTGGGGAAAGTGGGTGCTGCTTCTCCTGTCCTCGCAGCCCCCTGAGTTAAAAGCTGAACCAACCGAAATCCCTCCTTGCACAAAACTGGTAAAAGCAGGGGGACTTTTACCTCAGTTAGTCGTCACTCAGTAGAATGAATCAAGGAATCACCTTCTTTTCTGCCAAGATGGAACTTCTTCCTGCTGTTGGTATGCTTCCCCTGTTGAGTCCTGACTTGTGATGCATTTGTAAAAGACAAAAGAGGCTCGTTAAGTAAAAAAGTTAGCAACTCTACTTTCAGATGGGTTTCAGTTATTGTACATCTCATTTAAGCAATTAAAGATCTGTTTACTGAATTTTAATCCTGCTTTTCACATTGAATGGCTTGATCATAGGTTACTGCATGTTGTGTGAACCTGGACACTTTGGTCTGTTCGTGGAGTAAACAATCTAACATTCACAACTAAGCATAGGTTAACTTTTTAAATCCACCATGAACCTACAGTTTGTAAGCCGCCCTGAGGCTTTTTTGCGATGGGGGCGGTATAAAAATGCTATAAATAAATAAATAAATAAATAAATAAGGACAGGATGTAGTTAATGCTCTCTGAGGGAGGGTCAGGTTCCTGAAGAGGGTGAACCTGGACCCAAAGATGGCCACTAATTATAGACTGGTGGCTAACACCCTGTTCTTTGGCAAGGTGCTTGAGCGGGTGGTGGCCAGGCAACTCCAAGCTCTCTGGGGGGAAACTGACCATCTGGACCCATTTCTGTCTGGTTTCAGGCCTTGTTATGGGATGGAAACTGCCTTGGTTGCCCCGTATGATGACCTGTGTAGGGAGAGGGACAGGGTGTGTGTCCCCCTGTTGGTTCTCCTGGACCTCTCAGCAGCTTTTGATACCATCAACCATGGTGTCATTCTGGGTAGGCTGGCCAGGTTGCGGGTTGGAGGCACTGCTTTTGCGGTGGTTCCACTCTTGCTTGGCTGGCCAATTCCAGAAGGTGGTGCTGGGGGATTGTGGCTCTGTGCCATGACAGTTTTGCCATGGAGTTCTGCAGGGTTCCATTTTATCCCCCATGCTTTTCAACATCAACATGAAACTGCTGGGAGAGGTCATCTGGAGGTTTGGGCTGCGGAGTCATCAGTACACTGATGTCACACAGCTCTGCCTCTCTTTTACATCTAATCCAGGTGAGACAGCAAATGTCCTGAACTGGTGCCTGCTGGGGGTGATGGACTGGATGAGGGCCAATAAATTGAAGCTTAAACCAGACAAGACAGAGATCCTGCTGGTAGGCAGTTTACCCTCCTGGCTAGGTGTTTCCAACCCTGTTCTGGACAGGGTTGCACTCCCCCTAAAGGACAGGGTGTGTAGTTTGGGAGTGCTCCTCAACCCAGAGCCATCCCTGGAATCCCAAGTGACGGCTGTGGCAAGGAGCACTTTCCTTCAACGTTGGCTGATTTATCAACTGCGGTCCTATCTGGATGAGCAGTGCCTGGCAACAGTGACCCAAGTGCTGGTAACTTCCTGACTGAACTACTGTAACATGCTCCATGTGTTATATATAACGCCGGTCCTTTACCACCTACACTGGCTACCAGTCCGGACCCAATTTAAGGTGCTGGTGATGACCTATAAAGCCCTAAGTGACTTAGGACCTGGTTACCCAAAGGAGCATCTCCTTCCATATATGCCTGCCCACCCCTCAAGATCTGGGGCAGAGGCCTTTCTCCAGGAGCCCTCCTTGAAGGAGTTTAGGAGGGTGATTACCTGGAGAAGGGCCTTCTCTGTGGTGGCACCCTGATTGTGGAGTACTCTCCCCCGAGAAGTTTGCCTGGCGCCATCACTTTATACTTTTCGGCACCAAGCTAAAACCTTTTTATTTTCTGAATATTTTTAAAGTTTGACTGTTATTTTAGTATGGGGTTTATTGCTGGAATTCAATTAGGATGCTGTGTTCTATTTTATTTTTTGTCTTACTGTTAAATCATCAAGAGAAATGGTAAGGGATGGTCTAAAAAGTTTTAAAGAAATATAAATAAATTGTACTGGATATTGTACTTGGGGTTTTAATGTCTGTAAACCACCCAGAGAGCCCTCTGGGCTATTGGGGTGGTATATAAATGCAATCAATCAATCAATCAATCAATCAATCAATTTCTGTCAGTTTCATTTTGTTGTGCAATTTTGTTCTCTCCTGGGAGCTTGCAGGAAATAACCAGTTGAGTTTATAATCTTAGTTTTAAAAAAGTCATTTTGATTCACCATCTTGTTTCATTCATCATCTCTTACAGATATAACAGCACCCTGGCTCCTGTTGAAGGAAAAATATGTCTTTAGCAAAACTTTTAGAAATTCTAACTTTATATGTCACTTGTGTTAAATCCAGGATGCACAGCACTTAAGGCTTAGATGAGTATTTTTAAATGCCACTTTTCTATATATTCAGCATATATACCCTAACTTCTCACTCTGTTGCAGGTCTTCCTATTCTTGTCGCTATTTTCTATTGCCTTGCTGTTTCTTTGATTTCCATGGCAAGTACAACCGAAGACAGAGTAAAAAGACACAGTACAGAGAATATCTTGACTTTGTTACAGAAGTAGGATTAGTATGTGGATTTAATGTGGAAGAAGATTGCCTTAGAATTCCTTCAACAAAAAGGGTAACTTTTATTTGTATTCTAAAAAACATTTCAGTTGTCATATTGCTGTACTATTAAGCTAGTGATACAGCAGTGATGATTGTATGTGCTACAACTTGCATTCAAGTCAAAATAACGCTGAAGGAATGAAAACGATCAAAGGTCTTGTAATATGATGGTGGAAAGCTTTTTGCATTTGCACTTTTCTCTGTAAAAGTCCTGTGTTGCTGATTATAATAATAAGGTAAAGGAAGGGAGCACTGAAATTAAACTTGCAGGGCCAAATATTAATACGTCTAGATTGCAGAACAATAGCAGTCTGTCAGTATTGCAAATTTGGCAATTACTTGGCCTCATATTGTTCACTGCTCTGGAATCTGGAGGTGAAATGCTGTAAATAAATAAACATGAGCTATTGAACAGTCAGGTAAAGAATGTCACTGGTTTCAAGACAGGATTGTGTTAAATACACTGTAGATTGATTCCATACTAAAGTTAGTTATGCTTTAACGTCACAGAAATGTAGAGGATATGTTGGTCATGGCTAATGTAATTGATTTCAGTGGGATTAAAGCATGACCTGCTTTTTCTGCATCCAAGCCTGTAAATTCACAGCATTTATTATATGCATCACAGATACCATTTGCTTTGTCATCTTAAACTGTATTTAATAGTGCATCCCAGTGAAGGCAGTTCAGACATGCAGTGTTGATTGTCTTTCTTTTCTCATCTGAAACCTTAGTGGTTCCCTTCTTTTCTTTTCTGTTTGCCTGTCTCTTTTTCAACAAGAGACCAAATATGAGACATGGTGGGCTTCTCTTTTGACACTCCCTTTTCATGAAAATTTAGTGGTTGGGTTGAAATTTTCATTGATTCTCATATTTTAGCTGAGAAAAGTATCTACTCCATTCCAGATTAGTTAGCACCTCTGAGTTTTGTCCTTCCAAGCAGATGTCCTGGGCTTGGGTGCATTTTGTTTCTCTCCTCTAGCTGCAGTCATTTTAAGCAGGAGTGTCAAACTCTCCACTTTGAAGTAATTTATAATATGCTGGCTCATTGTCAGATCCAGGCCAATAATGTGGGAGACTAATATATCATTGATTGTGTGGTAGAAATCATTGCCTCACTTACAGGATGTTAGAGCTGATGAATGCAACTGTGCAATATCATGACACTGACTCAAACTATTTAGGGGTAGTATCTCTCTCAGTTTGGGATAATTAATTTTCTGTTTAGTGATCAGTGTCTACAGAATAAAAATTTTCTTGCTCCTAGGTATGCTTAATTGGGAAGTCTAGATCCTATTTAGCAACGCAAGACAGTACAGTTGATGAACAGCGAGCACGGTACATCAGTAGCCGTCAATCCTGCAGAACAGTAGCAGCAGCAGATAAAATGGATGAGCAGTATCAGAATGACAGCTACTCAACTGTTAGTGATGTTTCTGGCACAAAAGCAGATAAAGAAGTATCTCAGAAGACAGATATGGAAAATGTCTTAATATCTGGATTTCTGCCCAGGGGGAAAGAACAAGTGAGAAACTGTACTGCTCTCCCTCAGAAATTTGTAGAGAAAGTAGTTTTGAAGGTAGCAAAGCTGTTGTTATGTGAAGTTGAAGAGAATCCACATGGGAATTCAAGCACATGGAGAAGAGGAGGTGAGATTTGTACTTAATTTGCTGATATGCAAAATCAAGATCTGTAGAGAATTAAAATTGTACCTTTGCCATTATAATAGACAAGTTATTCTGACCTCATTTTAAAGATAAGCTTGGGAAGCATTTTAAATAGGAATGTGAATTCATCATAATGTAGGGCAATAACTTGCACAGACACCCATAGTTTTGTACAGCTCTTAAATAGTGAAAGATCCAGCAAATCATAGATGTAGACTGAACTGTAATGTCAGTAAAGATTTGTCATGTTTAGTGAGGGGAGCAATACCCATGGATTGAATTAAGTGGGAAGTGGCCCCTGGAGAGGGCTTCTGGACATGGCAAGGAAGGAACATAATAGATCTCCCTGGGTACACTCAAAGAACAGAGAGTATAGGGAAGATGTGGTGCGGGGGAAATAGTGTGGCACTGCTGTAAGGTAGACAGTGGATGGGAGGGAAACCAGTAATTGATTTTTGAAAAGCTGGAATGGTTTATCTGTATATTATACTGGCAAAGGGAGTAGGGATAATGCTTAATTTCTAAAGGGAGGGAGGCCTGAGTAACTCCTGACATATGATGATAGTACTGAATGTTGGGTGTTGAAGTCTAAAACATCTGGAGATCTACTTTCTTTCCACTTCTGTTCTAGGATTTAGGCCTAATATTGCAAAAAGCTCAATAGCAATATCAGCTAATAGCCCAGCCTATAAGCATGGTATCAAGTTTATGGAGCATGTCAATTAACTGTCAAGCCAAACTGTGTAGTATTACAGAACCTCCAATTTAATTAGGAGATAAGACCAAATTCGTGTAACTAGCTGATACTGCAGTCAGTTGTATTACACTTCCAGTGATATTGATGCATGGAAATACACTAATCTTTTATGTTGTTACCTAATCATCATAGTATGTTAGGAATAAAAGCATTGTTATATATGCATATTTTCCCCCATATGATGGATCATAAATATGTACTACTGATTTTCCTTCTTTGTGGATTTTCACAGTAGCAGTCTGTAGTGGTTTAAGATATTCTTCAGTAATGTAACTATCTCAATAAGACTTTCTATTTTCATTGTGAAACAAGAGAACTATTGTTTAGTTTCATAATCAAGTAATAAAAGTTCTTTTACTTGGCAAGTTAGTGATTATCACGTTGTCACTAAATAGTATTCTTGCAGTGTGTTCAAGATGAATATTTTAACCTGTTAACAGCATGAAGGTTGAACAGGGCCGCTCTCCCAGGGTGATGTCAACTCTCCTAACTTTTAGGAGGGAGTCCACAAACTGAGCCTGCTACTGTACATGGCATGCATCCCTAGCATAATCCCAAGCCCTTGTAGTCCCAGGTATTCCAGACATTCTGGAGTGCACCCAGGTGGGCCTGTAAGCTTGCCTCAGGTGCAATGTCTTCAGGATGCAGGTGACAGTTCTAAGCTCCATTCTGAGACACATAGACAGGATCTCCCTTGGTGCCCGACCCACACGTCAAAAGGTTCCTGAGGGTTGTGTCATTAATGGAGCCACCTTCAGTCCATAGGTTTCCCACCTGGAACTTGAATATGGTACCCAGGGCCCCTTTGAACCCTCAGGGGGCTGCCACTTTCAAGGTACTAACCCTGAAGACCATCTTCCTGGTTACTATCACCTGAACCAGAAAGGATTTAGAATTAGGGGCCCTCTCTTCTGACAGGAACCTATGCATCTTTCATAAAGACAATGTGGTCCTTCACCTAGACCCTTTATTCTTGAGTTCATTTTGGCTTTCTATGGGGCTCAGGAACTGACATTTTCTTCCTTCTGCTCACAGCCACCTTGTCAGGAAAGAGAGCAGCATAGCCTGGAATGTGAGGTGTACAGTGAAGTTTTACTTAGATAGGACCAGAACCCACGGGCAGCACAGCCTCCTCATCACTTTCAGACTGCTGCCTGCTGTAGTACCTAAAGGCATCCTGGCACATCTGTTTAGGAATATGGCTGCTTTTGTAGCTTTTTGGGAAGGGGACCCCTTAGATGAGATATGCAGGTTGGCCACCTGCTCATTGGTGTGTTCCTTTACTGGATATTATAAAATAGACCACATGGGTTCAGCAGAAGCTGCCTTCAGCAAGCACATGCTCCAGACAGTATGTTCACCTAAGCAGGAGGCTGGCTAGAGGGGTCTTTTGGCCCATTTGGGGATGCTGTTCCACATCCTTAGAACTAGCTGGCCATCTATTTACTCTGCAGTGAATTTCTCTTTTCTACAAGAGAAAGAGGCCAGCTAGGCCCATCCTTGGAGTCTGTCCTTCCTCATGGCAGTTGGCCCCGCTGACTGTCTTGCGAGATTCGTCTCAGTCTAGCAGGACTAAAGAAAGCCATCTGCCTGATCCAATTCATTGGAAGTGTCAGCTGGAGCTTCTTGGGAAGGCTCTATCCTCTACAGGAAGTACAGATCACGTATTTCTTCCCAGGCCCAGTGGCAGGAGCTAACTGGCCTCCATCACTCATAGAGAACAGAAATTCACCAGTGAGTAAAGAATTTCCTTTGTCCTATTACACAATCAGAAAACCTTAGGGAGAAGCATACTGAAGTATTGTTAATGCTTGTTAAGTGTCAAATTGGATTGATTGTACATGGCCAGTGAGCACAACCCGACTTTATGTCTCTTACTGCAAAATCATGCTTCGACATGGTTTCTTGTGTGTTTGTATAGAAAAGGGTGTGTTCCACAAGATGTTTAGCACAGTGGTGCACTCTTCTCAGAAGTCCCAACCTGGAAATATTGTTGAAGGCTAATAGGTTTTTTTATATGCATGTGTTGTTTTTTATAGTGAGTCTTTCCTTGAGTGATCTTGCTGAACAATTAGACAAAGATACTTTAAAAACTTTGAAGAATGAATATGGAGGACTGCAGACTTTGCTTAGAAACAATCATCAAGTGTTTGAAGGTAAGGGCAAGGTATGTTAATTGATAATCAGTTTCCCATGTGTTGAAAGATTAATGATCCTAGGGTTGTATCCAGATGTGTCCCTCTTCTCACAGAAGGCCCTTTGCTCCACTGCAGGTTTTTGTGAATGGAAGGAGGAGGAAGGTAATTTTCACAAATCACCCTTTCTGCTGCAGTTCCCTGTAGCCACTTCTCGTACTGTCACAAAAATACTACAAGACTTTTGGAGACACATTTGTTTCCACTAGAGAGAAGGGGAAGTCTGCAGAATTGTCTTTTTCTTCCTTCTTTTCAAAGAAACCACCACTGGATTCCATAGCCTTCTGTGAATGGAGAGGCATAATTGCATGCAGCCTTTAGTCCTAATTATTCCACTTTGCAAAGGGATAAGTAGGATACTGGATCAAATGGCAACTTGGTCAAAGTTTCTCTCTCTAGGTGCCATGTCAATCTGACAACTAGTCTGGAGTGTTTGCACCTTGTGTTGGGTCAGCAGGACAGACTGAGCTTTCTGCTGAGGTACCACCCACCCTTCAACCCATGAAGCCACCCTACCTGAGCTGACAGAGGCAGTCTTGGTTGAGATGTTGGAGTCTCCTGGCCTATTGGTTCTGAGGGACTTCAACATTCACACTGAAGGCATCCTATCCAGAGTAGATCATGATTTCATGACTGCCATGGCAACCATGGTACTATTCCAACGTCTTATTAGTCCAACACGTGTGGCAGGGCATACCCTAGACTTGGTCTTTGCAGTCAGATATGAGCATGATGCTCTGGGTGTGGAGGTTTTCAAGTCATTTCCTTTGTTAGGGTCAGATCACCCTCTGCTGAGATTTAAACTGAAGGTGGCTTTTTCCCTCCACAAGGGTGGGGTACCTATTAGGATGGCCCACCCCAAGAGCCTAATGGATCCAGATGGTTTCCAGAGGGCTTTGGGGGATTTTCTGTGACATGACTGGTACTCTTGTTGAAGCCATGGTCACACTGTGAAATGCAGAAACAATCAGGGCAGTTGACATGATCGTTCCTAAACTTGTTCCTCTGTTGTAGAGCTTGTACAGCTCTGTGGTACACCCTGGAGCTGATGTGATGAAACAACTTAGGAGATGGCTTGAATGTAGATGGAGGAAAACTCCCACTGAATGTAACAGACACCCAGTATGTGCCTACAATCAAGTATACTTTGAAGCAGTGAGAATGGCAGACCTTTTCAAGATTGTCCAGGGCTTATAATGTTCTGGCTCCAGGGACATCTTGGAACCATCTGAGGCCCACTGCAGTTTACTTGCTGAGCAGTTCCAGGAAAGAATCTGTTGCCTCCACCAGGTCTTGAACTTCAGAGTTATAGCAGCTTATTCTGTGGAGATATCCAGAGCACAGCCTGGTCTGGTTGGATGAGTTTCAGCTGGTACAGCTTAAGGATGTGGACAAAGTGCTTGGACAGGTTCATGCAACCACCTCTGTACTGGATGCTTGCCCGTTCTCACTTATAAAAGCCAACAAGGAAGGAACAACCAGCTGGGCCAGGGAGGTGTGAAAGGGAGTGATCCCATGCTGCCTTAAAAACGTGGTGGCAAGGCCACCTCTGAAAAAATCCTCCCTTGACCCAGAAGATCTGAATAACTTTAGGCTGGTATCAAACATCCCTTTCCTGGGAAGGATTCTAGAGAGCATGTTTGCCAATCAACTCCAGGCACTCTTGGATGAGACTGATTATCTGGACCCATTTCAGTAGTGGTTCAGGTGTGGTTTTGACAGAGAAACAGCCTTGGTCACCCTTTATGATGACCTATGCCAAGAACGAGACAGGGCAAGTGTGACTTTTGATACTGTTGGACTTCTTGCCAGCTTTTGGTGCTATTAGCCATGGTATCCTTCTAGAATGGCTAGCTGAGATGGGAGTTGGGGGTACTGCATTGCAGTGGTTCTCTTCCTACTTGGAGGACGTTATCCAGAAGGTGATACTTGGGGAATACTGCTCAAACCCATGGATTCTCCAGCATGGAGTTCTGTCCCCCATGCTACTCAGTGTCTACATGAAGCCATTGAGTAGGGTCATCTGGAGTTTTGAAATGTGTTGCCATCTGTATGCTGATGACACACAGCTCTAGTTCTCCTATCAGCTGCAGGTGAGGCTGTGCGTGACTGTGACAACGGACTGGATAAGGGCCAACAAACTGAAAATCAGTCCAGGTCCAGACAAGACTGAGATGCTGCTGGTGGGTGGTTCTTTTGACTGGATTGAGGTTGTTCAACCTGTTCTAGATGGGGTTGCATTCCTCCTGAAGGAGCAGGTTCATAGCTTGGGGTTGCTGTTTGATTCGTCTTCGTCTCTTGAGGCTTGGAAGTGCCTTCTTCCAGCTTTGGCCGGTGGCCCAGCTATGCCTCTATTTGGACAGGGATAGCCTGGCTTCACTAATCTATGCACTGGGAATTTCTAAACTGAATTACCACAGTGCACAATATGCGGGGTTGCCCTTAAAGATGGCTCAGAAGCTGCAACTGGTGCAGAATGTCACTCCCAGATTAATAATTGGGACCTATAGCTCCAAACATATAAGATTGTTTATGGCCTACTTGCATTGGCTGCCTCTGTGCTTCCGTTCCTAATTCATGGGGTTGATTTTAACCTATAAACCATATAACACTGCTTAGGACCACAGTACCTGTCAGAGCTCCTTTCTCTACCATGATCTACCCAGACACTACAATCAATTTCTGGGACCTTCCTCTGAGTGCCAACTCTGAGGGACGTGCAAAGGGTTGCAGGGAGGGGGAAGGCTTTCTCAGTGGTGCCCCCACCATGTATGGAATAACCTCCCCACTGTGGCGTTGCTGGTACCGAAACTCATCTTTACAGCGCCACATTAAGATGCCCCCCCATTTGCAGAGGCTTTCAAAGATGTACTTGGCCACCCATGAACTTCAGGGGGATCATCAGGTGTTTTGCAGAGTTAGACTCTCCTTTCTCCTCCTCCTCCTCCTCCTTCTCTCTCTCTCTCTCTCTCTCTCTCTCTCTCTCTGTTTTTCCTTGTCTGTTTTAGCTGTTTTAATTTTTCATAAGATCATAAGATCATGATATATCATAAGATCATAAGATCATAAGATTATGATATATCATAAGAACATATCATTATGATCTTATGATATTTCATTGTCCTTTAATCAGTGCTATGAATCACTATTTGGGTTGTTACAAATAGAAATGGAATGAAATTGTTCCTTCACTGAAGGAAGAAGTTTGGGAAAAATAAAGTTAATCAACAAAGTGCTGTGAATTTTAAGATATCATGCTCAGCATTGGCTCTCACCTTGAGATTCTTGCTCTAAACTCAATCAAAAAAGTATTTTTAGATTTTTTAAATTAAATGCACAGCATCAAACCCAAATAGAAAGTCCACAGAAGTATTTTATTGAAGCTTAGAGATAGCAAGAATGAATTTTATTCATCTGAAATGTTTTTATCAATCAAAATAATTCTATAGTTCCACCATAAAGGTAAAGGTAAAGGTTTCCCCTTGACATTCAGTCAAGTCATGCCTGACTCTAGGGGGTGGTGCTCATCTCCGTTTCCTAGCCGAGGGAGCCAGCGTTTGTCCGCAGACAGTCTCCGTGGTCATGTGGCCGGCATGACTAAACACTGAAGTGCACATAATGCAGTTACCTGCCCACCGAAGTGGTACCTTTTTATCTACTTGCATTTGCATGCTTTCGAACTGCAAGGTTGGCAGGAGCTGGGACGGAGCAATGGGAACTCACCCTGTTGTGCAGATTCGAACAGGCGACCTTTCGATCAACCAGCCCAGCAGCACAGCGGTTTAAACCACTGCGCCACCTGCAGCCCTAGTTCCACCATAATGCATCTCAAATTAGCTAGTAAACATATCAATAATATTTTAGGAAATAGTATACCCAGCAAATCACTAGATTTCCCACTTGACAACTTTTTTTAGAGGCGGTGAAGCCTTGTTAAGCAACACTATAAATTCCGTGCCTGCAGAGAGCTCATTTCAAGATATTTCTAAAGCTAGACTCGAGTTTGAGGGTGGGGAGTCAACTCACCCTTCAACCACACACACTCACTTTCCCTCTTGGTTATCTTCTCCTCCCACAGTAGATGTGCCTAGGAAACAACTTTGCTGTGTAGATCAAGATGAAAAAAAAATCTTTTCCTATGTTTAATTTTTGGTGTTTTCTTATGTTCATTTCTTTCCGATTTGATTTTTGGGGTGCATTCCTTAGGCACATCCTGGAATCATCTTCTTGGGCCTATGGTTCAGAAGGTTTCTTTCCTCCCTTTAAATATTCCTCTTGAGGAGCAAATTCCTACCATTTGGCTGTGCCTTTTGCCTTCTTGGTCTTGGAGGAAGCCATTTGTGAGTGCCTGCAAGCATTGTTAAGTCTTCAGCCAGAAAGGACACAGGTGTTCATACAGCCCTTCCTTGGAAAAAGGCACTTGAGGTTTTACATTTAGGCACATCAGCTTTTTCTGTGCCTCCAGTACATTTCCATACCAGCTTGTTCCACTGTTTTGCTTACAAATGTGCTGATTACAGTCTTTCCTGGCTCTGTCAAGACACTGCTTTCAGGGTCTATTTTGGTGACATATCTTTAGAGGCCAGTTCAGCTCCGGCTATTTCAGTGTCAGGACCATCTTTTTCAATACTAGGTCTGATACTGGTTGACCTCTGTAACACTCCAGGTGCATCTTCCAACCTCTGATAGTTTGATAGCCTTCTTCAAAGCCACACATTTTGGCTACAGTGGTAACAATGAGGAGGAAACAGTACAACCTTTTCCATCAGTACCGAGGACCAGTCATAAGCACATAAGAAAAACCATGCCGCATCAGAACCAAGGTCCATCTAGTCCAGCACTCCATACACACATTGACAACCAGCTGTTGCCCATAGGATCCCTCAAGCAGTATGGGTGCAAGACATCCTCCTGCCCGAGCTCCTCGGCAACTTGTGTATGTAAAGGAGTATGTAAAGGAGGAAACACATAATCAGCAAGGCTAGTGGCCACTGTTGGCCTCCCCCTCTGTGAATCTTTCCAATCCCCTTTTAAAGCCATCCAAATTGGTGACTTTCACCACTTCCCATGGCAACAAATTCCATAGTTTATACACTCTGTGAAGAAGTACTTCCTTTTATCTGTCCTAAACCTCCCACCAATCAGCTTCATGGGATGACCCCGAGTTTGAATGTTATGGAAAAAGGAGAAAAATGTCTTCCTCTCTACTTTCTCCACACCATATATTATTTTAAACTCATCTACCATGTCTCTCCTTACTTGCCTTTTTTCTTAGCTGAACAGTCCCAGTTGTTGCACCTGCTTCTTATAGGGGAGCTGCTCCAGCCCCCTGGTCATTTTGTTGCCCTTCTCTGTACTTTTTCACACTTAACAATGTCCTTTCCCAGGTAAAGTGATCAGAATTTAACACAAGACCAGCATGTATCAGAATCAGCTCTGCTTTCTGTACTGACACCAATGCTGGAGGAGTTTTCTATCAAATCCCCAAACATCCCACCAATGGGAATGACACTGGTGGCCTTGTTACTGAGGACTGATCAAGCTTGCAGAAGGAAAAAGGAGAAATTATTGAGCTCAGCACCAAAGGATTCACAGATCTTTATTTTTTCCACCAACCTTATCTTACCTATGATGAACGATTTTTAAAAGGAATTGTCTAACCTGCATTTAACCTGTAATGAACCAACAAATTCGTAGAGATCTATGATTCTGTCATAGTTAATGGGACTGCAAACCACATGCCCCTTTCGCTTTTACCCTGGAGAATCACATTCTTACTTGCAATAACATCTGTGAGATGAGCAAATGAACTCTGTGTACTCTGTGACAAGATCCTGTATTACTTGTTCATGCTCAAAGACAGGGTAGTTCTGTCTCCTTGTTCCAGGAATGGGTGGACTTCTCCACCTCAGTCGGGACATCATCCTTCTGCTTATCTCCCCTAACCCATCCTGCCTCTTGAGTCATCAGTGCATACCCTAGTCATTTTCCTGGTGCTAGTATTTTATCTGCACAGGACCATGAGCTTCAGAGAGAGCCCATGGTTGTTCCTTTGTTTTGAGGGTCCAAGTTTTCTCCCATTGGAAGTAATTGACTGGCAACCTCTGTTGCTTGCTTAAAAGGTCCAGAGATTACTTCACTAGAGTATTTCATCAGCTGCAGCTTTCCATTGAGAAATTGCAGTGGTGGATCTTTGCTGCGCTGTTGCCTGGTACCAGATCTCTACATTTGTCCACCAAATTTGATGTTAGGCCAAGCTGAGTGCCTCCTTTGGAAGTGCTATGCTCAGCTCCTTGGCTTCTCTGTGCTTCCTCTGGTAAGTAAGATTGTTACTCTGTCCATATATGGAACTGCACAGGCCATGAAGAAGGCACAAGTTGCTTATTTACAAATATATTTTGTTGAGTATTTGTGCAGTTACACAAGTCATCAGCCGACTCCAGGGCAGGTGCTCTTGTACACGTTTCTGTTTTTGGTTCAGTTTTTATAGCTATTGTGGCCAGAAGTAGAATTGAGCAGGAAGGCAGGAGCTGCACATTCCTCACTGATCTGCTTTGAGGGGTGGGGATGCTGCTTGCCAAAACTAATCTGACTATAGAAGTCTCCAGAAACAAACTTGACCCAAATCCTGTGTGTATGACAGCATAGATTACCATTTGATGATCTATAGTTAACAGGTAAGTAGCCTTTCTTTTTCTGATAAAAAACATGAGTAAGTAAAGTGTTTTTCTAGCATATGATAGTTTAATTCATTAGAAATAGCTATTTTACCTCTTCCTTCAGAATGACTAGTCTACAGGAATGTATTCTGTACCTGGCTTTGTTTCTCATGGCAGAAACTGGGTAAGTATAAATCAAGAGCATGTTTAAAAGCAGCTTCATCAGCATTGCTTGCCATGGTAAGTATGAGGAGAGGCCAACCATCTTCCCAGCTTTGCAGCTGCAAAGGTGAACAGAGAGTATTCCAATATACTGCTTGGCAGTCTCTATCCCTTCCTGGTTGGCAAGCTGTAGGTTGTTTGGGAACTGTTACAGAAAATTTGTGCTTGTGGTACAAGGGTCTATGTGTGCACGTGATTTGAAAACATAGTGTATAATTCACATTTTTCCAAGTTGAAATACAGTAAGACGCACCTGTAGGCTGAGTGTTAAAAGGCAATTATTTATGTGCAAACATATTATTAAAAGTTAAGGATTTCATGTGCTTATTTACATTCAGATTCATTCAAACAAATGGGATTTTGCTTGTGACTTTCATTTTAAAAAAAACCCTATTCTTTCACTAATTGTGGTAACACAATTGGTATGTGTTTTCTTAATCTTAGTTTTAAATGGGAAGGTACGTATCCGTGACTGGAGAGAATGGAAGCCACCAAGGAGAAGCAAGTCAGGAAAGCAGGTGAAACGAAGCCTTCCTTCTAAAGCCTTTAAAACACGCCTGTGTTGGTTTTACCTTCATCATCCACATGGTTGCCCTCTGACTTCAGAATCCTGTTGCTTTGCTCATGGGACTGAGGAGCTGAAGCCATCACTAACTATGCCGAAGAAAAATAATGCCAAGCAATAAGGAATTTCTAGCTGGACTTGTTAAATGCATTTCTGTTTTAGTATCATGTGCAGTTATTAGAAGCACACATCTTAATGGTGAGATCTACATTCTGTCCCAGTTAATGGAACAATGAAATCCTTTCTGTGGTTGCTGTGTAGGAGAATAATGATTGTGAAATCTGTTCTTGGAACTTCCAGAGTTTAGTTGTTAGTACCTAACATAACAGTAGTGCATTTCTAGATTAAATTCTATATTAAAATTCAATCACCACCACCACCTTCATCCATGTTCTCAGAATAATTTTGAATATATAGTTTTTTCCCCTTTTTTCCCTTTGCTAAGCGTACAAATATGTACATTTCTCAGGACATCTTTCAGATAATTCTGTCTCTGAAATCATGTAATCACTGGGGCAAGTATTACATGACTTTGCAGTACATCACAGCTTGACATTCCTATTGTTTTAGTGATTTCTCCCTTCATGTTGAGTAAGCCAGCTAGAATGAGGAAGGCTCTGCCTCCAGAACCAGGAGACAGTCTCTTTTCTGTGAGTTCCAGAGGAGGCAATGCCTTTCCCTGTGGCCCTAGACTGATTTCCTGTGCCTCGAGATGAGCAGCAAGCTCTTGCTCTGCCACAAGTCAGGCACTCATGCAAACTTTCCATGGCTTAACTGTAGAACTGGTACTACATATACCATTTTATATTTTATTAAAAGGGAAGAGAGAGCTTTTGCTTCATAAACTCTGAATATGCAATGGTAATAATAGAGGCACAGATCTTAGCTCTTCCGAGTGATTTCCTAAAACTCACTTAATACAAATATTCTCCATTATCTTGTCACTGATTTCCATTTAATGCAGTGCTAACAGCAACTCATGTTGCAGAAATCAGTATTTGTCATACAGGACAGGCCAAATATTAGAGGGTTGTTGGTAGCCCGCAATGTGATGGATGTCCTAGTGTGGCTACAGGTTTATACTTTAAGCCAAGGAGGAAATTGTAATAGGAAGATCTGTAATCCTAAATCCAGTGCTTAAGCTTCTAGCTTAGTCTTTGAGCCATCCTGTTTGGGATAAAGTTGTGTAGGGGACGGATGAGAACAGACAACTACCAAGTGTCTATAGGGATAGGAAAACAGAAAAGTATATAAAGGCAAATGTAATATATTATTGCTGTGGGGAAATATCCATTAATAGATACTTGTTCTCTAGATCTGAGAGTGAGTTGCTGGGCTGTACTTGGCCTAAGAATCATGCTCTTTGGACAACCTTAACCTCAAACATGTATTTGCACTATAGAGATTGAGTAATTTAGAGATCTGGGTCTTACTCTACCTCTTTCAGAAGTAATAAACATTTTGCTGTTGAGTTTGATTCATTGTGTATTTGGAAATGTTACTTCTTACTGCAAGGGGTCTTGGAGCAATGGCCTCCCTAATTTGAAGACAAACAAAAACAGGAGCAATAAATTGAAACTTTATCCAGGTAAGATGAAGCTAATGTTGGCTACTTTGGGAGACAGAGTCAAGCCTGTCTGCAAAGTTACACTCTTGGGTTACGCTATGTAAGGAAACAAATTTGTAACTTGGGGGTGCTTCTATAGTTGGCCTCATTATTGTGGCTTCTGAGGCATGAAGCATATTTCACTGGCTGAATCTGGTGTGCCAGCTGTGTCCTTCTAAACAGAGATTGGTTACAATTCTCATCTAGTAGCTCAATTAGCCACCGGTAATTAACCACTGTTTTATTTTGATGGTCTTTGAAGATTGCTTGAACAAGTTGGTGCAAAACATAGCTAGATTACTTTTGGTCTGAATAAATGGACTATGCAGTCCGTCTCTGACAGTTTTTACATGCCAGGTAGGTACAGACCAGGCAGCTGCACATCCTTGGGTTGCACAAAACCAGGAAATTGCCATAAATAACATAAACATCACCTACACTTAGGCTGACATTTGTGATTAACAGAGCTTTTTCAGAACATAAGTTTTCTGCAAAGTCAAAACATACCAGTCACAGCAAGCCGCCAAGATTTCCTCAGAGTGTCCAGTTGCTTTGCTGCTCCTTGCTGAGCCTGTTACTATTAATGATGCTGCTGAAAGATTCTTTGTTCTGCAGTGTGATTTGGCATGCTGTCCTCTAAGTTAAGTATTACGGTGCTGAGACTTCCTTGGCTTTAATTGCAATTTAAGCTGCAAAACTTCCTATTTGTACCCTCCCCTTTCTCATCTGTATCCACCCACCCATTCATAGCTCTGTCTCCCTTTTTCCTAGTTCAAATGTGACTTTTGTGGTGCCAGGGAGAAAAAGAAGATGCATTCCTCTGCTTGTACTGCACTTATGGAAAGGGAAAAGGACACATTTCTACTAAGAAAACAGCCAGATCATTATTTCCCAAGCTATTTAACCAAGTAAATAGTATTTCAAATCGAACAAGGCAGGATTTTCCTGGTATATAATGCATGAATGTTTGACCCTGAGAGATGTATGTATATGGAATAATGGCTGTATGTGTACACACATTTCAGAGGTCCCGATACTGATCACTCATTGCAGCAGTAGGGAATGAGCTGTCTGTGTCAGGATCTCAGTGTGAGATTACTAAGAAAAGGAGGCGAATTCAGCAGTGAGCTGCTCAGGGCACCTTTGTTGGGTTATGTACCTAGCTGCAAGGTAAGGAAAGCATCAGTCCTTTCTAAATTCCAGCACAATCTATCAAACTTGTCATATGGAATTTATTGAGGAAGTTGAAGTCCTAGTACAAGAGCAATACCATTGTGTCTTGTTCTCACACTTACTGTAAGTGGGGAGTAGAGGCTAGAAATGCAGTGGGCTCATAGAGTTTGGCCCAGGACTTGGCAATATCTTTGGAGGGTCTATTTCTCTTCAGGTTTTTTAAGGCTGTCTTTAGAGCTGGAATCCTTTCAAGGTGGCATGCCAGATAATTAAAATGGCTTTCAAAAATAAGATTTGACAATGGACTGCTTTACATACAGGTGCAGAAAAATGGACAGCTTGTTGCTATATAGTTATGGTATAATATTTGCAATTTTGGTTGGCGCTGTCTTGGACCCTAAATTCATGTCTACACAAATCCAAGTGCAATGTTGAAATAAAAACTATGTGTATATGAAATAAGTTGAGATTTTTTTATGCACTATCAACCTGAAACAGTAATTATTTTAGTGGAGAATTATTTAGTTGTTCTAGAGAATAATGATTTCATCTAAAAGCTAGTTCAATATGATGTGGAATTAAAAATAAGGTTGCTGTTTAGGTCCCTTGGAGGTAAAAACTTCATCCACTGCCTTTTTAAAAGAAATTGCTAAAAGTGGCAACAGAGTAAACATTCAATAAACAACATTATTTATAAGCTATAAACATGCACAAAATGCATCATCATATAAATCAAAGGTTTTCAAACTAGTTCATGAACTATGCTCAGGTTGTTTTGTGGGAAGCCTGTGGATCAGTTTATATCTGTACCTGGTACCTTTATTTTGTTTTTTCCTGATGACACATATCTAGGCCTTCTTGAGTCCTTGAATGACAACAGGAAGGAGAGCAACAGATGGGTGGTTAGGGACTATACTTCTTTAAACTATTTTAGGGAAACAGGCAAGCATGCACCATTTCCCATTAAAAGGCATGTGGTACTGAAGGTAAATGGTGATACTAAAACCAGTCTATAAGTTTCAGGAGGAAGGAAAGTACACTCTGGCTCAGTTCAGTATTGTAAGAGTGGTTGGAACAGATGCAGTCCCGTCATGGAGTGAGGATACACTGCAACATTTTGTTCTGGACTGAACTTGCCATTGTCATTTAAGTGTTAAACTGATATTTTGGACAAGAGTGTTGCAGAATATAAATAGGATCCTGGTTGAATCAGAACATTTACTGCATACACAGACAAGTCTGACAAATATTGGCAGAGAAATTGGTTGCTGTTTTATAGGCTGACATTCCTGCTGCAGTTTAGATCTCTAAAGCATGACCTACATTCAGGTATTAAAAAAACTGTAATAACTGCATATTTGTTTTAGGAAAATGTAAAAAGGAAATTAGTTTTGTGTTTTCCAAATCGGTCACAGCCTAAGTGATCACCTGCCCTTGTTTGCTCAGTTCCACCTTCTAGGCCTCCTGCTATGCGACATCATAGCAAGCATACTGTTGAGCTCTTGTTTACTCAGACTAGAGAAGGTAAGTGGTGAATTGATGTGGCAAGATAGACGCGCCTGACAGAAAAAAAGGAGCCCCCTAGCAATCAGGCTCAGCTTCCTCCCTCTCAGCTCAGCCTCTTAAAATCTGTTTTTCCTTCCAGGAATACTAGCAGTTGTAACACGATCTGTGGGCCGTATATCCCATAATATTTGGGCATGGACATGAAGCACATTAACTTCCTTTGCGGCTGAGCGAGACCAAACTGTGTGGCTCAACGTGGAGGAGCAGCCGGCCGGTGGATGCCACATCACGGCGCCCTCTGCACACAAAGGGCCCTGAGCATGTGGCTGCAGCAGTTTCTCGTGAGTGCCTTGATCAGCATTGTGGATCTTGCTGTCCCCGTCTGCAAACTGGGTCCAGAAGCTCAGGGTAAGATAAGAACCCTTCTGAAAGCAAGCAAGCTGAGGTTGCTGAAGCGGAAGGAGGTCGTCCGTCCCCTTCCCCCCCCCCCCGCCCTCCCCGTGCGCACGCTTTTTCCCAGTCTCTGGGAAATCAGCGGGACTCTTTGGATGGGTGCCTATGCCATTAAACTGCCAAATCTAAGCAAGGTACATGGTATAGCTTGATCCCAGGCTTCTTCAGAGTACATCAGAATCAATGTCTCTGGAGTAATTTAAGACTTGCCCGAACTATTTGGGAGACAGAGATCTTCCCAGTGCCTGCCTTCCAGGAACAGAGTGATCAGATTGAGCAAATGGATGTGCTTTGTCCGTTAAGTGTGTATGCCTTACGATCTTCTGTAGGTTGACCCTTAGCTTGCTCCTTCCAGTCTGAGAAGGGAAGGAAGACGTCCTTCAGATCAACAAGTTTCATGCCCTCAGGGGCAACTGCTGTACATAATATTGGGTACATTAGAAGGGCTAATTATGTTGCTATTAACACTTGTAGAAGCCAGAAGCAGCAAAGGAGGCTGTGTCCTCCCTTTGATAGTGATGGGCACTGTAGATAGATAAAACTTTGTTACAGTCAAAGACCAGCTCAGTTCAAATAAATAGATTTTTTTAAAGAAGGAAATACATTAAAGGTTGGGCATTGTACTTTGTGAACTTTCCCCAGCATTTTAGTATTGGGAAACATTCTTGGCTGTTCAAAAGGTTTTGAACTGAGTCCCACAATGTAAGGATCTTGTGAAAGGATCTTAGCAGCACTGCCTGGGAACTGATCCCAACCCTCAACATTAGAGTAGTAGAAACCATCAGGCCCAGGACAGCAGCGCTGCAGAAAACCATGTCTGCAGGCAGATACCAGAGTCATTTATCGCACCATTTTATGGCATTCTATGGGGCTTGTGAGCCCCTTGGTCCTGCTGGAACCCTGGATTGGCTTCCTTTGGCAATGTGAAGTAGCAGGGAGAGTTTGCTCAGCAGGTGGGAAGTGAGAGAAGAACTGCATCCCATGTTTAGTGCATCATCTGCTTTGGTCTTCACAGTTGCCAGGTATTATATAAAGTATCAGACAAATGACAATACAAGTACACTGGGATAAAATACTGGAATTAGACCAAAGAGACTCATGTAAATTTGTGAGGAAAGTCAGGGATAGGGAGAACAAAAATAAGGTGTTGGGACAGCATCACAAAACACATTCTTCTTATTGGAGATATTTATTTGCTGTACTTAATGGCTGCTGTTTAGCGAGTGTTTGTAAGGGACTCACAAGAAGAAATAGCTCAATATTCAAAAACAAGCAAAACAACATTAAAAGGATAAAATGTATAAAAAGAAATCACAGAGAATAAAAACAGCTTAAAGTAGGAGGAACTAGAGGGCCTGGGGAAATAAAAAGGACTTTTCTTGTGCTGGAATGATGTTAAAGTAGGTGCCTCTTTGGGGAGGGCCTTCCAAATCCAGTGTATCACCATGCCAAAGGGCCTCTCTACCTCACTTCACTTGGTGGGGGCATTCTACTAGGGCTTTCTGAAAAAGATCTCAAGATCCATGGGAGAGAGGTGGTCCTTGCTGCTGGTAAGATTGTCCAGTTCCAGTTAGCCAATGCTCTGAACTAGCAGTATTTTTGAGACTGTTCTCAAAGGCAGTCCCACAATCATTGCATTGCCGTAGTTCACAGAAGTTGCAAGGTTGTGGGTAACTGAAGAATGGTCATTCCTGTAAAAATAGGCTTGAAGCTGATGCACCAGCCTAAGATGCTAAAAGGTTACTTGGGCCACGGAGGCCAGTTGTGCATTCACTGACAAAGACAGATCAATGAACACTGACATCCACCCTTCCTAAATGACATAATTGCTCCTTCTGTTACTGGATGGAATTATATCCTGTGGGAAGAAGAGACATTATATTCTCTTTAGACAGTAGGTGTTTTTCTCTCTAAGGAAACAAAACAGCATTTTATTTTTTCCAGTCTGGTTTCAGAGCAGCTCAGGGTATCAAGTCTATTTTATTTGTGCCTAGAGTAAGAAGAAATTGGGGAACAAATATTCATGTGATGTGTATGCAAAAAGTTAGTGTCTAGGAGTGAGGTGGCCTGCTTACCACTGGGCAGAGACCAGAAGGCTTGTCACAAGGAAAGCTGTTCTTAAACTGGAAAAAACATCCCCCCCCCCCCCCACCCCGCATCTGCAAACCTAAGCCTAAAGATTGAATGTGGACCTACCCCAGGATCCTGCAGGAACTTTCATATTATTATTAAGTTAAATTTCTATACCAGCACTTATCTGTAAAGGCCTCTCAATGCAGCTGCTGTATAATGAATCACTATGTTCTCTTGGATCAAATGCAAGACTTGGTAAGAGTCGTGCACATATTATTAGCTTGGTTCCATCCTTTCCTTTTCTGGCAATTTCCAAGACCTACATCAAGAGTTCCACAGGGCTTCATAATATTCCTGCTTTTATCCAACATCAATACAGAAAGGTACGGAATGGATGTGCAGATTTCCTCAGTTCCCTTCCATTTTTATAGTTCTTTTAAGACTTGGGTTCCACTCCAGTTGGCTTCTTGCAAGCAAGAGGAATTTCAGAGTGTTGATAATGGATTTTGCATATTTGAGTTTTATTGCATTTTATTATTGTTTGTTATAGTTTTATCCTGCCTTTCTGCCTTGATTTGAGGGACTCAGGTAGCTCACAACTGATAAATAAACAAAGAAATTACATGAATAATCAAATTAAAAAAGAAAAAAGAATTTAGATAAATATATAGGAGGAAGAAGAGAACAGAGTCTGAAATATATCCACTAAGATGGAGGCCTTCTGGAGCTATAAGGTCTTCAAATTGGAATGGAATGTCATTTGGAAAGGGCCAAATGGGATAAATTTCCCAGAGCAATGACAGAAGGCCTTATCCCAAACTAACACTAATCAGGGCTTTGATATTAGCATGACAAACAAAACGATTCTCAATGAACTTAGAGAATGGACAAATTCATATGAGAGAAACTGGTCCTTCAAATAACCTAGTCTGAAACCATTTAGGGCTTCAAAGAAAAGATTATTGAACTGAGCTAAGATTGATAGCCAGTACACAAAGGAACCATGTGCCCTTAATAGAATAGAATAGAATAGAATAGAATGGCTCTAGTCAAAAGCTGTAAAGCAGTACTCTACACCAGCTGGACTTTCTGGACTCTGCAAAAGCAACCCCAAGTACAGCACATTATCATGCCCCAACTTCAATGTAACCTGAATGCTCAAAAAAGAAAGAAAAAGAGAACACAAACTGTTCCTGTCATATGTGATATCTGTGGAACTTTTTATTCCGCAGCATGCTATCATGTAGAAGAAAATTAAAGTAGGAAAGTAGACATGTGGAAGTATGGATAACTTTAACTGGTCAAAGTAAAAAAGTTGACATTTACTAGTAATTCTAAATATTTCAGGAGGCTTTCTGGAAATTCTCAAGAGCTACGGTACCCTTTGGTTAATGATTATTACATACTGGTGAGTTAGTATTGCACCCTTACCCATGTCTCAAAGAAACATCTCAAGAATAAACATGGCCCTATAACTAGTTGACCAAACATTATGCCTATACTGATTTAGTGATGGATAGTAGAATGTAAGTGGGACAAACTATTAACCAGCTAGGGAGACAGACTGCTAACCAACTTAGTTTTCCAGCTGAAGTCTTGTAAATATGACATACATGAATTTCATAAAATTATGTTAGCCTCATTTCCAATAAGAAGGCATGTGGCATAGGCCAGTATAGCCAAAACATTGTACTTAAGGCAGAAAACCACAAAGTGCCAGAGTAAGAATTTCAAAAGGAGAAAGTCTGAGTTTTCTCTCTTCCCCTTTGATATTTCACCCCCTCCACCCATTTTTCCACTGAAAGGAAATTCAGTGTTGCTATGTTGTACATATGCCTGATTTGGAAGTTCTATGCTTATAGCATATTCTTAGATTCAACCAATTAAACAAATGCATTTATGTTAAAAAAATATTATCTTGCTCCTCTGAATGCTTACACACCAGTCAGGTTTCTCTGCCTACTGTGTGTTCATTCTATACTTCAAGGTGTAACACTGAGATCCTGAGAATCTGTTGGCAAAGTTGAATTCTCCCTGCTGCTGTGGTGCCTCTCAGTGACTGAAAGTGACTGTAACTTACACTGTTAGCAAAATATTGAACCTTTCATACTGTATGTTAACTTACAAAAGCAGTTCAGTTTCTTTGCTGACTACCCTCTTGAGCTGGCTGTTCCAATAGCAGGCCATGAAGATCTAAATGTACTGAAATCACAGCTGTTCAGGCCTTTTTACTATCTGAATTTGTATAGGATTATGTCCATAATCAAAAACCTATATTCAGGTTCCTGGAAATAAATTTATTTTTATTTATTTATTTTATTAAAACATTTTTATGCCGCCCCATTTGCCGAAGCTTAAATACCTTTCTTTCTCAATGAGTCTTATTTCTGAGTATGCATATAGGATTTCACTGACAGAAGTTTAGAAATGGAACATTTTGGATCCCATCTTCTCAGTTACATTGGGAAAGAGCAAGTCTCCAAGCTGAAGGCTGAGAAAAGGCCAAAGCTAGTGAACTAAGAGGGGATGCTGGAGACAAGCACTTACTGGTTTGTAACGTTTATGGCTACCTCTTAAACTTTTTGCAAAGTGTTTTGGACTTGAACATGCAGAAAATATCTGGCACTTAATAGCTATAGATATTCTATTCTGCAGCAGGTCCCAGGTGTCCATTTATTTATTTATTTACTTACTTATTACAAAGATTTATATCCTGTGCTTCTGTTGCTCCTACAGTACTCAAGGTAGTTTACAACAACATAAAAAAATTGCAAAATCAATAGCCATGTTGTCTGCTGTTCAGCTAAACTTACTGCATTCCAAGTGGCCTGCCTTATTTCCTGCTTCTGCTTCTCTGATATCTCTCCAACAGCTTCTTTTTCTTTCTGCTTCTTTAATATCTCTCCAACAGTTGCATCCATCTCTTCCTCAGATTCACCAATGCTATTTCCCCTCAGTTTTTCTTCTGCCTGTTGCTCAGGAAAGATTCCATTGTAGGAATTAAGGGCACAATTCTATGCAACTTTTGACCGAAAGAAAGCCCCATATCTCCGAAGTTTCCCTACTCATCTTTGTGACTTCCTGTCTACAGATGTACACAATTGCACTCTTAATAAGGTATAACACTATCCAGTAAGGCAAGGGGTAAGCCTGGGATAAAGTTTGTGAATGCACTACTAGACACACTGGGCTAGGAGTATTAGGGTTTTTTGTTTAGATCCTCTGACTTGATGTAAAACTAGACTGGAAAATGGAATATAAAGAGGAATAAAGCACACTTGTGTTTATATTGTCAGTGTCTGCACAACATGACAAGCAACCAGCAATTACTTTTTAAAAACCAGCTGCTTGTCAAGCTGCCCAAATCTAGTCATGCTGATTGACCACTGCAGCTTTATTTCTTTCTTTCATTCATTTCTATACTGACTGATAGCGGAAGCTCTATTAACCATGGAGAGCACAACGGCCTGCTCTAGGATTTCTCTCTAGCACAATTGCACATTGTGTCATCCAAACCCTGACAATGCAACCCACCATGGCAGAAACCCCAGGACAAGAAAGCTGCTTGGCAAAGGCTGTGGTTGCTACTTTTGCCAAGAGAGTGTGGCCCACAGGCGCCCCACTTTGGTGAAGCTGTCAGAGATGTCCCTGCTCCTTCTACCTTCTGTCCCAGTGATCATCTTTTGGTGCAGGAGGCACCGAGCTGATTCCTCCACCCCCATCACCAGCGTGGATGCCTGGCCCAGGCTTCCCCTTCCCTGCTCCTGCTTGAGCAGCTTTTTCTCCTGCAGAAGGAGCAGGGGGTGCTTGAGGTAAGCAGGATGTATGGAGAAGGGATGGCCCTCTCCGAGCCCCCGCTGCCCTGCTCGTGCTCAAGAGAAAGCCTCTCTGGTGGAGTGGGGGAATCGGCTGAGCCATGCTGCCTAGAAAAGCAGCTGCTTGCTCACCCCCACTTGCACAAGAGTGCATCCTCTCATGCAGGAGCAGGGGAACTGGCTGAGTGGTGCTGCTCCTTTCCACACACTGCTCAGCTGATTGCCCACCCCTTGTGCTGGAGGGTGGGCCAGGCAAGCCTGCTCCTGCTCCAGAGGTCTCTGGGGGAGGAGGCGAGGGCACCTGATCAGCTCCCCACCCTTTCTGCTGCATTTCAGAGCATGGGCCCTGCTTCTGCAGCAGAGCCTGCTTGATAGTCACAGAAAGGCTGTCAAACACTTGGGCCTCATTTGCCCTGCACTGCCCCCTGGATACCACCTGGAGGGAAGAGCAGGAAAGAGGGAGAGAAGCCTGATGAGGCTGATAGCCTGCTGGGCGAATTGCAGCTGCCTGGTGCTTCAGGGCAGCCCTTCATGGGAATTTAACATGGTGTGTTGACCTGAAGTGCAGAACCTGCTGAGTGAGATGGGGAATGGTCACTTTTCTTGTATTGATCCCTCTCATCTTTTGGAATATGGTGAGATGTTTCTGGATTATACAGAAACATGTTATTCCATTTTAAGCCTTGTTATTCCATTTTAGTGTTGCCAGTTTACATAAACACAATAAAGAACAATATCAATACATTTATATAGCTTATTTCAGCTAGTCATAGTACTTTTCATACAATATCTTAGCAATCCCATCAAAAGCTCTGTTGGTTAGGCCAGTGATGTTATTCCCAGGCAGGGAGTGCATGTGCAGATGTGTGCTGAGGCTGGGGGAAGAGTGGTTTAAAGGGACAGTGACCTAATACTAGCTGGTGATTTTTTTATTCAGTTGAGATTTGAAGCTGGCTAGTATGGTAAATATTTATTTATTTAAAACATTTATATGCCGTCCTTTACAACAATGTCTCAGGACAGCTTACAACATTAAAACAACAATAAAATATCAGTATATAAACAATAAATAGGAATAATAAATAGTAAGAAAAATTCAACCAGATAAAATTAAAAAGCAACTGCTAGCTTCTAAAATCACTAATTCTAAAACAATGTTCAAATAGAAAGGTTTTCACCTGGCACCGAAAAGAATATAAACTCAGTGCCAGGCAAACCTCTCTGGGGAGCGCATTCCACAGTGTGGGCGCCACCACAGAGAAGGCCCCACTCCGAGTAGACACCCTCTTTACCTCCTTCAGAGAGGGTTCCCAGAGCAGGGCCTCTCCCATAGATCTTAAGGGGCATGAGGGCATATAAGGAAGGAGACGCTCCTTCAGGTACCCTGTTCTCAAGTCAAATATTCCACTGTAAGTAAACAAAAAAACACACATATAGCAGATGTCATGATGGGAAGAGGACTGAGATGGGCTTCCTTTGAAAGGGGAGTCTACAATTAAATAGTTTAAATGTTTGAAACTGTATGTAATATGCTACAGTTTGCAGCAACTACTTGTTCACATGCTTCATGACAATCTATTTTTTTATTTTCAGTTCAGTGTCAAACACAAGCAGAAAATAAAGGTAAAGTATGCATGTTTTTCTTTCCTGAACTTAAGCCTAGGCATGCTTCCAAATGAAGGCATCAATTGTGCAATTGCCCTACATCATTCACAGATTGGGGGGAGGGGTTCAGATGTCAGTTTCTTCTGTTTGTAATGTTCCTGGGTTTTCTTGCACCTTGTTCTGCACTTTTTCTTGCCCCAGAATAAATGTTACGGAGGGGAAGACCGAATAGGTGCAGATGTCTGTTGCTTAGTAGTGCTAGTGCCATCCATCTGAAATCACCCTAAAATTCCTCATAACTAAGTGGTTATCCTAGGGACTATTTTCATCTTCTGTCCAAAGCTGTGATTTCCTCATCTGCTTAGATACGGTTGTATTTCACACAGAGTAAATGTCACTACATGTTCAATAAACACATTCAAATCTCCAGGGCCCAATGAACTCTATCTCAGAGTCATAAAAGAGGCAACAGAGGAACTCTCAGAACCGCTGGCTATTATCTTCAATAAATGTGGGAAATCAAAAAGTGCTGGATGACTGGTGAAGGGCTAACATTGTCCCCATCTTTAAAAAAGGGAAAAAAGATGAACCTGGGAACTACAGATCAGTTAGTCTGGCATCAGTCCCTGGAACGTTCTAGAGCAAGTTATTAAAAAATCAAACTGCAAGCACCTCAAAGAAAATGCAGTGATTAATAGAAGCCAACATTGATTTATCAAAAATATATCCTATCAGACTAATTTAATCTCATATTTAGACTGGGTAAACTCCCAAATGGACAGAGGGAACACTGTGGGCATAATCTACCTCGACTTTAAGCAAAGCCCCACAGCAAATTAGTAAGAAGTAGACTAGATAGAAAAAACTATTAAGTGGATCCAAAATTGCCTGCTAGATCAGACATGAGTGCTTATCAATGGCACCTGCTCAAACTGGAGGGAGATAACTAGTGCAGTGTTGAGTCTTAGGCCCAGTGTTCTTCAACATCTTTATTAATGATTTAGATAAGGAAGTACAAGGAAAGATAATCAAATCTGGGTGGAATAGCAATCACCCTAGAAGACAGAATGAAGATCCAGGGTGATCTTGATAAACTTGAACATTGGGCTGAAAGCAGCAGGATGAGATTCAACAGGGACAAGCACCAAGTTCTCCACCTAGGAAAAAGAAACCAAATGCATCAATACAAGATGGGGAATACAGTGGTACCTCGGGTCATGAATGCCTCAGTTCATGACCAAATTGGTTCACAAACAAAGTTTTTGGAAAAATTTTGCCTCCATTCATGAACTCCCTTGGGTGATGACCATGATTGCAGCCACGTCCCCGCATGAACATGATTGGGATCGCAACCATCTTCCCTTCACAAACACTCCAAACAGTAACCTTCTCCCCACCCACCACGAGGGGACGGCATGAGGGTGCACTCACCTCTGTCGAGGCCTTCTTGGTTCCTCACAGCTTCTGAACCGGAGTAAGGTCCCCTTGCAGGCTTCGGGAGGGGGAGCAGGAGCCTGAGGCCAGGAGGTGGCGTGGGAATGCTCTGCCAGCCAGGAGAGGGCTGCGAGAAAGTAAAGGCTGCTTTCCGTGGGCAGAGGCAAGGGGAGGCAAGGGATGGGGCTGTGGCTGGCCAAGTGGGGCGGAAGAAGCATGGCAACCACTCAGTGGGGGAAGAGGCTTGCCCTGAGATGGCCATGGCAGAGGCACGGAAGTTGCAGCCCCGCTCCTTTTCCGCCTCGGCCCGTCTGCCCCCGGGCTTGGTGAGGAGGCCGCAACTTGGCCTGCAGTCCAGGGACGTGGCTCATACTGTATTTTTGTGGTTTAAAAAAATTACATATTTATTTATTTATTTATTTATTTATTTAAAACTTTTATATACTGTCCTTTATGTATAGCATAAAGTTATGGTAAAGAACGGATTAACCTTATTTACATAGAACCTTATGGGCAAGTTTGACTTGGTTTGCAACCAATTTGGGTCATGACCCGAATCATGGAATGGGTTCAGTTTGTGAACTGAGGTACCACTGTACATTGCTCAACAAGATCTCACAGTAAATGGGAACCAACAGGCTAACCAACAGGCCTTTTGTTGTAAGCCGCCCCGAGGCTTCGGCGAATGGGGTGGCATAAAAATGTTTTAATAAATAAAATAAATAATAAAATAAATAGGAGTCAGCAATGTGATGCAGCTGCAAAAAGGGCAAATGCTATTTTGGGATGCATTAATAGATGTATTCCTTCCAACTCATGAAAAGTAGGATTCCCCTGTACTCCTCACTTGTCAGACCTTATCTGGAATACTATGTCAAGTTCTGGGGACCAAGATTTTCTGGCCAACAAAAATGATCCAGGGATTAGAAATATTGCCCTATTAGAAGAGACTGAGAGAACTGGGCATGTTCAGCCTTGAGAAGAGAAGACTGAAGGGAGACATGATTTCCCTCTATTAGTACTTCAAAGGCTGTCACAAAGAGGAAGGTCAAGATCTCTTCTCATTGATACCAAAGTGTAGGGCATGAAGTAATCAGTTCAAGTTGTGACAACCCAGACTCAGGCTAGATATCAGGAAATGCTTCCTCACTGTCAGAGCAATACGACAGTGGAACCAGCTGCCTAGAGAGGTGGTGGGCTCTCCCACACTAGAGACATTCAAGGTGAAACTGGACAGTCATCTGAGTCGGATCGTGTAAATTGGTGACTTGCAACAGCAGCTGGTTGGACCCAATGGCCTTCTTGCTATGATTCTGTGACTACTCATATTTACATGGGATACCCAGTTATACTTTTAATAAGTATACAGGCACTGAGCTGACAAAACTTATATATCACCCCTTATTGAACAGAAACATAGAAACAGAGTGATTCAGAAGGGATCTCTTGGGCCATCCAGTCTGACCCCCAGCTCCATGTCGCATGTCTAGCCTATCCTTGAACAATACAATAGCTTTGTCTTATTACTGATCAGTTCCCTAAAAATTAATATCCGGCTATTGTAGAACCAAGTGTTGATGGCCACAACGTCTAAACCATGAGGGCAAAAATTCATTGATATTCTTAAAAATGAATATGAGGCAGAAAGAGAAGTTGGTTCAGGAACATGCCATATGTTCAAAAGAGAATAAAAACTATTATTATACTCTCCTTGCTAGCAGAGCTACCCTACAATCATATCATGCCAGGACTTGGCTTATCCCACTGCTATGCTGCTGGGACAAATTCCTTATTCATTTCCATGTAGTCTAGGAAAACAGGCTGAAAACACACAAGTAGAAAATACAAAAATTATATTAAAATGACAGATTTCCACAGTTGCTCTGGAAATAGCCCTCCAGTCCACAAATCAGGGGCTGGGGCAGCCGTGACCCACATGCCAGCCGCACATGGTGGGAGTCTGTGAAGTCATGATGATGTGCCCATGTCCCTGACTCACAGTATTGTGGCATACCCAACACACCCAGTGAAGCCCGCATTCCCCCTCTCCCAATGGCACTGCCTGGGTCTATGGGTAGGACTGCACATGCTGAAATTTAAGCAGACATGTGTGCCACTAAAGCAACCTGATGTGAGCTTAATGCACTGTACTTGTCTGGATCAAAGACAGGCAAAATATGGGCATTTCCTGGGACAGTGATTAACTGGAATTATCTGTAGATATTCACATTGCTGGAGGGTATATTTCTTTCTCCAACCAGAATTGGGTTACAACTGAAAATGGTGGAGCAGCTTTCCTGCAAGCAAAATAATTTTTTTTGGAATGCAGAGAGATTATTTCAGAACACTCTGGCAAAGAAAGCTTCTTACCCTTATTTACATTCCTGTGTACTTGTTTTGATCCTTACTAGAACCAGAAATAGTAGTGGCTGTATGGAGCATTCTCCTTTTATAAATACCTCTATGCAGGGCAATTAACTATGGGAGAAACAAACTCCAGCAAGCTGTTGGCTGGTAGAGTCAGGCTGATCTTCCCTTTCCTGGTTTTCTTGAGGAGAGGGAAGGAGCGGTCACTCTTGTGGAAAACTTCAGACAAAATAACTGCCTTTTGGCAGATACTACACAAATTCAGAAGATTCCTATATCTAGCAGAGACACAGTTCTATGCTTACAGCATTCTTTTATGTATTGAGTTCTTGCTATGAAGAACACAGACAAATCTGGTTTGAGACCCAATTCAAAGTGCTGGTTATGACCTATAGAATTGTATGTGGCTTGGGACCAGGCTACCTGAAAGAATGCCTTCTGCCATACAAATGTGCACAGCAGGTTTTAAGATCTTCATGGGACTCCCTTTTTTGGCACTGCTGTTTTCACAGAGTCATTCAGTGGTAATGTGAAGGAGGCCTTGGAGGCAGCTCCCAGGCTGTGGAACTCCCTGCTGATGGAGGCTAAGTTGGTTTCTCTCTGCTACCATTCCAGTGGCAAACAAAGACATTCTATTCAAGCAGGCCTTTGGTGTGTAAGCATGTGTTTCTCGGTTGCCTGCTGTTTTTATTCTGCTACTGTTGTGTTCTCATTTGTGTTTTTAATCTATTTGTTTTACTATTGTTTTAATCAAGGTTTTACTTCATTTTGATTGTAGGCTGCAATGAGAATATTTTTCTTGGTAGAATAAAGAAAAGTGATTGTGTTTCTAGACAAAATACTAATGGCTGTATTCTATTCAAGTACCAATTTTACCTGTTGTTTACTACCAGATAATTATTTTACATCAGTTATGGAATAGGAAATATTCATGTACTTATCTTCTACTCTCTCATAGCAAAATGTGTGGACATCAACTTGAGTTCCTGTAATGATGTGTCTTATTCAAAAACAATTTACCCTAATCTGCTGTATCAGAAGTCCAGGGAGGTGATCGAATACAGCTCTGAGTATATCTTGATGGGTGTGCTCCATAACTTGCTACAGGGAGAATGCAATCCTGATCTGAGGCTTCTGAGCTGCTCCATCATGGCTCCAAGGTGTGAAGAGGGCAAAATCGTTAAGCCTTGTCGTAATGTCTGTGAAACCCTGAGAAAAAATTGTCTGCCAGCCTTTGATGCAATTGACATGGCTTGGCCCTACTTCTTAGACTGTGATCGCTTTTTTGTGGATGAAGTAGAAGGATGCTTTGATCCATTAGCAAAGTTGAGAGGTAAGAATCAAAGCTATGTCTACATCATTTGATACAATCAACAAAGTCCAGACATACAAGTGATCTGGACCAGATGGCAGCTGAATCAATTACTTTGATAGGGTTGCTGAAATAGTAGTGGGTGAAAGCTGGGGCTAACTGAAGTGGAATCACAGCATAATGATAAGCAGTTTTGCCAGAGAGCTAGTCTTTTAAAGGGGGCAGTGAGGGATCAGTCATCTAATCAGGTGATACAGGCAACTGCATACAAGCAAACTATCCATATTACTGGTTTAGTTTGTACACAATCAACTTGAATTGACATCAGCTCAGGTTCATATAAAACAGTCACACAAGTGTTAAAGGATTTAGTATTCAGCAGGGAACAAAAGCTGGAATCCTGGCACCCAGTTAGATTAGTTCAATGCTATACCCCCCAAAGAAGCAAGTGTCCAAAAAGAGAAACAGACAGCATCTTTGTCACTCATTTACTTATTAAACAAGTAAGGCACTGATTGTATTTTTATACAGCAAGTTAGGCAGATGAAAAATGCAAAGGAGAAAGAAGTATTGCCTCTCTTTCACTCTAATTTTTGTGGCATCCTGCAAAAAGTTAATAACTTGAAAAAACCATAGTGTTTTCTTCTTTTTTATAGAAAAGCATGAGGCAATCTGTCTGTAGCCTTTATATAGCTGTTCTCATGTTCTGGAATAATGAGAACAGATGAACATGTATCGATTTTTCGGTGCAAAATTATGTTGCTTTAGTTTCAGTTTGCATAGCTTATTATTGCCCATTTGCTAACCTCTTTAACCTCTTCTTTTTTCTGCAAAAACATGCATAGAATTGTACCATTAGTTTCTTGAACCTATTAGAGAAAAACTGCTAGTATATGCCTAACTGGATTTCTTCACTACCAGTGGAAGCCCGTCTCAAAGAAAGGTGTGCTTCTATAGGGGTTCTCAAAAATGTTTGGGTCTGTGGGCAAATTTGAAAATTTGGGAAGCTGTTATGGGCAGCATCACATGGTTTCCAAAGGGAACTCCTAGTCAGAAATGTGACTATGAGAAATGAGATCCAGCATGGTGTAGTGCTTAAGAGTGGGACTGAAGGTCAGCCGTGAAGCTCACTGGGTGACTTTGGGCCAGTCACAGAAACTCAGCCCAACCTCACAGGGTTGTTGTTGTGAGAATAAGACTGAGAGGAGGAGGAGGAGAATTATGAAGGCTGCCTTGGTATCCCTTGGAAGGAAAAAAGGCAAAATATAAGAAATAGATAAATAAAATGGTTGCCATGGTGAGGTTGTATTTACCCAGTGACAAAGGGCTTAAAGAAAGTGTAAGGCAGAGGTTAAGTCTGTTCTCCAAATACCAGCCCATGCATGTGCCCCCACACCAAAAATAGCATCAGGCTGCACCCAAGCCTTCCTTGGTTAATCACATATATCAGTGGTGCCAATATAATAGCACAACAAAATGCCAGTTTCACAGAAGAAAAGAGATACTCAGAGAAACATCTCCTCCCCCCCCCAAAAATGAACAGAGGTAAAAATACTCCCACCAGAAAGAAACACACAGGCAAAACCGCCCCTAAAAATTAACACAGAGACAAAACGATGCTTGTATTGCCCAAAAACAGTGCATAGGCAAAACGTCCCACCCATTAGTCCACGGAGCACCAGGGTCTCTTGGCTTTCCTTTAAAAACAAACAAATACCAAGATTTGGCTGGGCTTGCTGGAAAGGAAGACACCAGCTTCCTGCTGCCTTGGCCTGTTCCCTCTCTCCCTGAAGAATGCCTCAGTTCCATCATGGGAGTAAAGGAAGAAAGAAAGTGGAAAGACTTCAGATTAGTGCTTCACTTTCCAACTGCAGGTAGTAAAACAAACAAACAAACAAGGAGTACATACCATTGGAAGGAGCAGGCGGCCTTGGCAGGCATCTGGGGGTTCAGGGTAGCTCCAGCACTGGAGCAGAGTTCCAGTGAAATCTTGGATTCTTTCAGCCCTCAGCTGTCCACTCACTGAATGGTGGTTTTAATGATAAATTAAACATAAAGGATAATGGACTCAAGCTTTGATTCTTAAACATGCAGTGACCACACATATTTTCTTAGAATGATCCATAAGGATTGCAAGGCCACCAGGTATATGAGAATTAGCAGGGAAATTGATCTGGAAGAAAATGCCTTTGCTGCTGTGGTTTGTTTCAGCCTTGGCACAGATGATGAGAACTGCCTTAGCATGGCAGAGATCTTATTACTATGGTCACAAAGAGAGAGGTGTGCATGGTGTGAGTGGCTGCTGTTTTGAAGTCCCTGGACTTGTTAGCAGTACCACCCCAAGAAGTGTGGTGCCAGTGGCAGGTATCTCCTGCCTCACCCTGCTATCTTTCCAAGCCACAAAACCCTGGGTATCATGGAAAAGGTCCACATGGTGGTGAAGAAGTACACTTACATCCGGTGCTCAGAGGCAGATTCTGCTCCAGGGCTTACTCTGCTTGTAACTGTGGAAACAAGATGGCATAACTACTAGTTGGTATGATACCAGCATGCCAAATTGATCATATAATTACAGTTTGGTGATCTTCCTTGATATAGACCAATTTTTCTTTGAATAAATCAGTTGTGAAATCATGTATGCTGCTGTGCTGCAATATTCTTGGACATATGCATGCAAATAGTGAGCTGATTTAGTTAAACCAATTATGTTACTTTGCAGGAGAGACAGAATTTGCAGACGATGCCGTCAGTGAGTCACCAACATTTATTCGGTTCACCCATCACTCGTTCCCCCAAATGGTGAGAGAACTGAAAAAGGTAGCATCCAGATGTTCCCACATAGCTAGGATGTACAGCATTGGCCGCAGCTTTGAAGGCAAAGACCTCTTTGTCATTGAGTTTTCCACTCGGCCTGGACACCATGAATTGTGTGAGTAACAGTGGGAATTGACATCAGAACTAAATGGAACATGCTCAGAGTCAGGCCAGCCCAAAACACTTTGCTGCCTGCTATGGACTTCCCCTCACCCCTCAGCCCCATTTCCACCTCCTCTTCCACTCCCCTGAGCTGCTGCTGCTTCCTCCCCCATGCCCAGCATCCTCCTAGTCTGTTGTTGGGGACAGCAGGGCCCCCACGTGCTGCGTGCTGCTGCTCCTCAGGAAGCCAGGCGCACTCTGTTTTCCTGCTAGCAGCACTGCTCCAGCTGAGTTCAGCAGCCCAGCACCATCTCAAGCCTTGCTTTGCCCTCATAAATGGTCTTCCTCAAATAAGGGTGAGCTTTGGGCAGGCACCAAAAGCTTGGCTGTTAAATGCGAACATCATTGCTTTCCGTTGTGGGGCAGACTGCTTTTTTAAAGCAGTTTTTGCAGCCACAGCTGGGTGGCAGCACTGGCGGCGGCAGCAGCAGCACCACTCCTATGGCTGAGTTGAGTAGGAGGGAGGCCATTGCAGGAGACACTGGGTCGAGATCTGAGAAAGTACTGGCAGCACTTTGCCAGTGCAAAAAAGTTCTGGCAGTGGCTGTGGAGAAAAGTGGCGAGGTAGAGGCCAGCAGGGAGAAGCCATAAGTACGTTCCTTCAGTGGGTATGTGGCAGAGATGCACCACTCTGCTGCTTCCCCAATCCTCACCTGAGGCACCTGGAAGGTCTTACCTGGAAAGGTCTGGTCCCACTCAGATTGCTGACACTGCTTGAAACACAGCAATGTGGGAAGGATTCTCCCGAAAAGGATGAGGCTGTAGATGGCATCGTCAGGGAGAGCAAGGGCAGGGGTGCATGCTCTGCCCTTCCTGGGCCCCAAGCCACAGGGCTGCAAAGGACAGTGTCACTTCAGCACTGAGGATGCATCCTAGAACTCAACAAAGCAGCTCTTTCTCTGAAAAGAAGTAAAGGTGATTAATTTCCACGATGCTATAAATATGCAATGAGGTAGATGGAAGCTCACCAAGCTCTTGGAAATGTGTCTACATTCAGTTTGACTTTACTGATCCTTAAAACCTACTTTGTGTGATTTTAAATCTTCCAAGAAACCATTTCTGTAAGGGCCAAGCCACATAGAATCATAGAATAGTAGAGTTGGGAGGGGCCAGAAGGCTATCGGGCCCAATCCCCTGCTATTGCAGGACACTATGCTACACCATCCCATTCAGAGGACTGTCCAGATGCTTTCTGAATGTGTCTAGTGAGGAAGAGCCCACAACTTACCATTGTCATACTGCTCTGACAGTGTGGACATTTTTCCTCTGGTCTAGTCTGAATCTGGTCTCCTTTAACTTAAGTCTGTTGTTCAATGTCCTGCACACTGGAATGAACAAATGATCCAGGGTTTGGAAACACTGCCCTATGAGGAGAGACTGAGAGAACAGGGCATGTTCAGCCTTGAGAGAACAGGGCATGTTCAGCCTGAGAGAACAGGGCATGTTCAGAAGAGAAGACTGAGAGGGACACAATATTCCTCTTTAAGCACCTGAAAGGCAGTTACAGAGAGGAAGGTCAAGATCTATTCTCGCTGATACCAGAGTGTAGGGCATGGAATAATTAACTCAAGTTGCAACAACCCAGATTCAGACTAGATATCAGGAAAAGTTTCCTCACTGTTGGAGCAATATGACAGTGGAATCAGTTACCTGGAGAAGTGGTAAGCTCTCCCACACTGGAGTCATTCATGGCAAAAGTGAACAGTCCTCTTGAGTTGGATGGTGTAAATTGGTGATGGGCAACAGCAGCTGGTTGGACTTGATGACCTTCATGGCCCCTCCCAACTGTACTATTTGATGATTCTATAAGTAATCCAAGTAGATTCTACTTAAGTAGAATAAGTAGATCGTCTCTGTGGTGGCAGTGGGGATGCCCATTTTATGGAATGCCCTTTACTCTGGTATTTGGGAGGAACCAGCTGTGGCATTTTTAGATAACCACAGAAAAGCCCTTTCTCTACTCAGGCCTTCCCTGATTTTATATTGCCCAGTTTGTTTTGTTATGGTGTTTTGAATATTTGGTTTTACACATGTTTTACATCTATGTTTTTGTATTTATTATGTTGGAGCCTAGTGCGCTTTAATCTTTGCTTTGTAAAGCACTTAAGCATTTTAGGTATAGTAAGTGATATGATTAAATGAATGAATGAATGAATGAATGAATGAATGAATGAATGAATGCATCCTTGACTAGGGCAGCACAAGCCACAATGGCCAAGCAGCCTATATCAGTCTTAGCAACCACCTTCTTTAGACATCTTGAAAGTTATCCAGTAAAAGATAACCTGGCTTATTTTTTCACAGTCAAGCCAGAGTTCAAATACATTGCCAATATGCATGGAAATGAAGTTGTGGGGAAAGAATTACTAACCTATCTTGCCCAGTACCTGTGCTCTGAATATATTCTTGGCAATGTCAGGATCCAGACATTGATCAACAACACTCGAATTCATCTTCTTCCTTCCATGAATCCAGATGGATATGAACTTGCAGCAGAAGAGGTAAATGCATGGCAGGATATAGCTGAGAATCTGGAATGATAGTAAAGTGTTCTGGTAAAGGGTTCTGGCTTTTATTTTCACTGGTATAGAGAGCCTTTGAAAGAAAGAGAAATGGTATATATGCAATGGGGTTTTATTGTTCTTTACAGTTGGCTTGTTTATTTAGTCTTTCTTCATTTAGGATGCAATCCTATGTCCAGTACACACTAGGAGGCTGGCCATAGGAAAGCTGGAGTCCCTGCTGAAGCCTTCTTCAGAGAGCCGGCTCTCCCCACTTGCAGCTGGTGCCATTCCTTCTGCACTGGCTGTGCCTCTGAAGGCCGCCTTAGACAGTGGGCAGGGTGGGAGGGGAGGGGAGGGGAGGGGAGAGGCACCCTGTTTTATGCAGAACCCAGGGGGTACCTCCTCCTCGCATGGACAGGAAAAACATTCAGGTGACTGAAATGGGACAGCTAAATGTTTTGGAGGGCAAGGGGTGTGCAGAGGCGGTCCTAGTCTCCATGCCTGTCCCACAGCCCATTGGATGCCTGGACCTTGCTGAGTTGGAAGGGCTGTGGGAAGTCACACAGCATGGTGCCCCTCAGGTTTCTTATTCTTTGTATCCACATTTGTGACATTTGAAATAAAAATAAATGGCACACTAAAAATGTATCTGTGAACAGTGGAATCATAAATTGAAATTAACATAGAATAAAATAACAGTATACAATGAAAAAGAATATAGAGTCTTTAAATCCCAGGGCCTGGCCCAGTCAAAGCACCTCACTTTAGGATTGAGGAGACTGAGGAAGAAATGAAACCACCTGTGTCAAAGGTGGTTTAGTTTATTGAGCAGCATGACAAAACACAGATGCAGACTATAAACAAGTAGAAAAGATTGCCACTTCCTTTTTCTGTCACAGCACATCGCCCATCCCTTGCCCCAGACTGACGACAAAAGGCAATGCCTCATGGCCGGGCTCCTGTGCATTGCTTCTCTCCCACTGTGGGAGATGGTGTGGGAGAGAACCCACTTCACTCAGCAAGCGGCTTCATTCTCAAGGAAGCCTCATCTGCAGAATGACTGGGGACAGCAACTTCCAGCCAATTATCTCTGTTGCTCTTCGTAACAAGCTGAAGCCTATGAAGCTTTTGCACAACTTCAAGGAACGTTTTCTTTGTGGGGGGGGGGCAGGGGGGCAAATCTTATTTTTTCAGGAAATATAACAGAGGGAAAGGAGGAGTATATCATAAGAAGAAAAAAAGCAGCTCCTCCTGCCAAGTGTAGTTCTAAGGTTTAACACACAACTCCTTGTTTAAGCACATTTACAATAAACAAAAGCCTTTATCAGCCACTCTCCTGGCCCACCCATTCAATTCTCAGTCATATATTTATCTAGTCTATACAGTTAGTTATACATCTCAACATTGCTTTGGTGTGAATGAAATCATAAACATTTGTATAAACCATATTTTCTTTAACTACTATTTAAAATGTTCAAAGTAAATCTTCCCTCTTTATGTAAACTCTTCAACTGGACATAACTAATTAGCTTTGCCATTGTTGCTAGCTTGTTTTTCTAGTCTTCAACAGCTAAGCAATCTTCAGCTTTCCACTTTGAGGCAATTATCACTCTTGCCACTGTTATCATGTATTTGTATAATTCTGACATAATCTTTGGGATAGCCTCTGGGACAATACTCAATAAAATGTTCTTGGCGTTCATTGGAAAGTCAATTTTGAGTATTTTCTGCATCTTAGCATGTATCTGCTTCCATTTTTTAAATTCTGCCACATGTCCACCACATATAATAAAATATTCCATCTATCTCTTTGCATTTCCAAAGAGTTTTTGTCCATTTTCTGTATATCTTTCAGGGTGATAAACCACTGGAAATGCATCTTATACCAATTTTTCTTAGTGCTTATCCTTCGTCCATAAGATTTCTCACTGATGGGCCAATATTTCTTCTTGAAGATTTTGCATTCAGCTCTTCATACATATTTTGTCTCATTAAGTATCAGAATCATAATTAAGCAATTGTTTACAAATGCATCCTAGGATTTTTAATTATAATTTAAAAGTCTTTCTAATTTCTTATTATGCCTTTTCCAGTTTGAATTTCTTTTTCTTCTTTTTACTCTTGAGGCTTGCTGATGATAGAGGAGCTATTTTATGTTTTTTCCTTCATCTTTTAATTCTTGAGCTTCAGGGAACTCTTGGCTTTTGGACACTGGGAAAATTCACTGCACTATCTGTTGAACCTTAATAACCTCATCACCATTATTCCAGTAGACCACATAAAATGCAGTTACAAAGTGACAGATTTGCTAAATGGCTTTCCTCAGCTAGGAAAATCATGGCCAGGAAGGATTTAAAAAACTCAGGAATTGTTTTGCAATAATAAACCTGTTTTAATTTTCCCTGACAATGCATGGCTATTTAAACCTAAGTTATCAAAAACAGTTTATTTTATGGGTAGCTGGGGACTGACAGATAACTGTATCTTCTTGTTGGTCAGGAGGTGGGGCTACATAGCCTTGAGTTTTCTTCAGTTATTCCAAGTATCCAAGCTACAGTTACATAGAAACAGAGCAAGTCAGAAGGGACCTCCTTGGCTATCTAGTCTGACCGCCAGCTCCAGCTGGCTCCACTCATGACATGCCTACCATGTGCATGTCCAGCCTATTCTTGAACACCTTCACCAATGGGGCTTCAACCACCTCCCATGGAAATTCTTCTCTGCCTCATTGCAAATGCTTGCCATTTTCTGCCAAGAGTGGGAGTGGTAATTCAGCTCCATGATCCAAGGCAGGGAAGATGTTGCAGTATCAATACACTGCAGGCAGCTTCTCCAGTTTTCAGAGAGATGTATGGGAAGGGGCATCAGAGGAGCCACTGCTGGAGCAGTAGCTACTCCCTGCCACCCTGTCCTGGCTCCAAGGCAGGCTTCTTTCTTTGAGGACCATGGCAAGCTAGGCCTCTTCCCCTCAAGTGACCAAAAGTTTGATTGGTTTGATCTGCAGTTAATTTTGGGGGCATGGGCAGGATTTTTGTTGCCCATATCTAGGTGTGACTGTTCAGTTTTATTTCTGTATTGGCTGATGTGATATATCACCCCTTCCCTTTTTTGATGTTAACTAGGGAGCTGGCTACAATGGATGGACAAATGGGAGACAAACAGCTCAGAATCTTGATCTTAACAGGAACTTTCCAGATTTGACCTCTGAATTTTACAGACTCACCAGGATCAGAGGGGCACGTATGGACCATCTTCCCATTCCACCGTCTTACTGGTGGGGTAAGGTATGGAATAACAGGCTTATTAAATATGTCCTATTCTGTATTCTATTGACATGATATTCTGTTAAATTCAACAATATCCTCAGGTTTGGAGGACCCAAAATGCAAAAAAAAATTTTTGTATACACATGTGAGCTCTGATCTTCAGGGAACAAAGATTAGTGTTACTTTCATTAGCTAATCATTTTATTTATGGATATCAAAATGACTGCACCCTTAATTTACAAAATATTATTTTACAAAGAAACATGACTAAGCATTCCAGTAACAGCCTCCATGCTGTATTTTGTGTCTTAATGAGATGATCTGAAGTGCCTCCTAATGCAATTATTTTAAACCTGTTCTTCAGGTAGCACCAGAGACAAAAGCTGTTATGAAGTGGATCAAGTCCATCCCATTTGTACTGTCTGCCAGTCTTCATGGGGGTGATTTGGTGGTTTCTTATCCTTTTGATTATTCAGTACATCCCCTGGAAGAGAAAATGTTCTCCCCTACCCCTGATGAGAAGGTAAAAGTATATTGCAGAATCACTTGGAACATATCCCATGCTAACCTGTATAAATTACAAATTGTGTGCCTAATGTATCTGTAAGAATTGTGTCACAACAACCTGTGATAACACAAGAAACCTCAACTGTATGCATCTAAATGGCTTAGCATAGGCACTCCCACTGCAGTTTAGAACAAGGGCCATCATATCCAAGAAAATGATTGGATTCTGCTCATTACCTGCCCTTGGAAAGAAAGATGAATGGTTAAATAGCCATCCCAAGCAGTTCACATCATCGTCCCCAGAAGCAGCAAACACAAAGAAAGAGCTCCTCACAGTGAAATAAAAAAACAACAGAAGGGGGCAGTGAAGTCTTGTTTATGAAGTATGTCAAAAGAAGCATTTTCATTTTGGGATGGGAGGGAACTACAGCTATGAGTATCTTTACTTGAAAATTAATGAAATTTCCTTCTAAGTAAATCTGGGGAAATTGCACTGCAAGATTTCTCACCACCCTCTTCTGCATATATACATACAAGAGATGAAAGAGTAATTTGTAGTAATTTGAATTACAAATGTAGGAAAACCCTTCTATCCCTTGTATACCCTATAAGACTTATATACTCTACCCTATATGTTTATAGGGTATTTAGATGGGGAAGTCATGTAAATTGGATCAGAAAGAAACACTGAACATGTAGTCAGACTGCAATACATTATTATTAATAATAATATTAATATCTTGCCTGTTCCTGGTGATTATGAGGAGGTAATTAGCATAAGTTCATTGGTTGACTTATATGTGATGGTTATGCTAGTAGAAAGTGGGGAGTGAAGGATGACTTCCAGCCTGTAGTGGTGTTTAATCTGATGCGCAGAGGTGACTCTTAACCAGCCTCTTAGGCTGCCCAGCACTTTTGCCTTCCTCATGACAGCATCATGCAGTTTTTATGGATGCAGTAAGAGTTGTTCCCTTTAACTCAATTTCCATCACACTCTTACTCCATCCAGTATTGTCTTCTCAGATCTCTTCCACCTTCTTTTCTCTCAGCTATTATGCCTTTAGAGCCACCTGACATGAAAGGGCTTGCTCTGGTCTTTCCTATCCAAATGTAGTTGCCTAATAAGAGTCTAATTTTTAAAAAGCGAACTTGTAAAAGTTTCATGCAGGAGCCAGTTGTGCTGGCTCTGGTTGATGTTGAACTGTTGAGTGGCAGCTTCCTTAAGTGACAGTCCAGTTCCCAGTCCCAGGTTCCCAGTGCCTTGACAGCCCAGTCCCAAGTTGTACCCATATGCAAGGGCTTGTAGACAGGGCAAATAGCCTGAGCTCAGTAAAAGTTAATCGGCCTGTCGCTCAAGCTTCTTGGGAGAGCACTGTCGAGAGCACTTGGTCAGGATATCCATTCTTAGCTCTCCTTCGACCTTCCCCACAATCCAACACTCCCTAATCCCACCATTCACTCCCCAAGCCAATGGAAGTGGCTGTATGAGTAGTGGTGTAGAAGTGGTGGTGCCCTTGAAGACAGAGGCCGGTGCTCCCGTGAAATGGGGGAGAGGTTCTGGGGCCTCAAAGCAGAAATCCCACTATGGGACAAGTGTGGGGACTGAGGCGAGCATGGAACTCTTTAACCCTAGTCTGGATATCATACCTACTATTCTGGATAGTGTTGGGTCATAATGTAGGGAAAGAAAGGCACTGCCTTTTTCAGAAGCAGCAACTCCTATATTTCAGGGCTGAGGCCTTGCAGTAATAATATATTCTACAGCTCAGTTCTAGTGATTATTTGTTTAAGCACTGCTAGACAGCTTAAATGTAAATCATTCATGCATTGCCAGAATTTGTATGGTTTCTATAGATTTCCATCTTTTTTCTGTCTCCATATACACATCATACACTAGCCAAAAAAAGTAATGGATAGAGTAGGAGTTCCCTGGTTCATGATCTTGTATGAAAAGGATTGGGGGGGGGGTGTTTGACATGATTATAGTGTTTGAGTTTGCTTGCAGGCAAAATGAACAATTTCCTGCTTTGCAGAAGCAGAACACATTTGGGCAAACACAATCACTCTTTGCAGAATTACTGGTATGATCTGCCTACTTCAGCTGGGCCATGAGGAAAATTTACAATTTCCCTGCTGCTCTTAAATTGGGAGGGAGGCAATTTCAAACCTCACAATTGTTAATAGCAGCAGGCCAATACCAGTTCTGAGTAGGATCAACTGGGTGGCAGGGGAAAGACCTCTGGGGAGAGAGGCTAGAGCCTCTCCCTCCTTCCAGTGATCCTCTTCAAGCTCACTGTTTCTCTAGTTCCTTCGCAACAAGGAGGTGGTGGTCGTGATTAGGATTGCAGGGAGAAACCAGAGGGTCTAACTTGACCTCCTAGCAATCTTGATCAAAGCTGCTCTTTTACCAAGGCAAACAGGGAAGGTGGTGTCTGTGCACATGCATCTAACTGAGGCATATGTGCATATGTGAGTGTGTGTGCCCCATCGCTTCGTTTCAACCCTGGGGGCAAAAAGGTTGCCTGCCTCAAACAAGAAGAGTGGAAAGAAAATGCAATAACTTGCATTATTTTCTGTTGCTAGTTCTGGATACTGTATGATGCAGACCTAAAAACATAAATAAGGGGAAGCTAAACACATTGTAGTAAATGATCTGCAGCCTGCTTTTGTCTGCTGCTCCTCTCACTTGTGAACTTGGAACTCTGTTCTGAGTATTCAGGCCCCAAAGAGTAAAATGTGTCCTGTAAGCTGTGGCTTTACCTCTCCTTGCTGCAGCACCCAGGCTTACTCTTGAGCCAGAGACTGTTTCTAAGTTGCAGTCCCTCTGATAACTGCACAGTCACAAGTAGTCTGGGGCACTGCTTTCTCCCCATTTTAATCTCAAAGGCACATGTGCTGCTTTATGGCTCCACAGCATCTCCTGCAGGCACCAGAATACTTTAACTAGGCACATCTACAGCTGAGTGCTTTTCTGGAAGGTTTTTCAAATGTTGTTAACAGAATGTCTGCAGTCTACTGCTGCTGACATTAAACTAGGGCTGATAGTAGCTTTTTAGTGTGTACTAGGAGAAAAGAGCATTCCATACTTCGACTTGCAAGCTCTGTGCAATGAGCCTCGAAGTATTTACGAGTAGCACCTTTGGAAGTGTGAGGGAGGTCACTAACTAGATGCTTCTGCAATTACCCTGTGTGGTTCACATAAGCAAATTAATAGTAATTGGTCTCAGCTTTGGAACAATTATTTATATCAATTTGGTAATCAGGTTTTTAAAAAGTAAAACAAATTAGTATACTGTGCTGATAACTGCACACAAAAGTAAAACAGAAACAACTCTACCCAAGCCAAGCAAAACTTTGGGACTTGGACTGAGCTCACTGAGTGAGCGAATAGGAAGAGCAAGCATGTATTCAGCATGGAGTCTAGCAGAGGAGGTCAAGGAAGAAGTCCCTAATATTTTTCCCCCATAAGTAGACAGTGTGTACTTAGAAGGGCCCATCCATGGAGCTACTGAGGAAATAATAAGGAAGGACCACTGCACTAGCAACAACAGGGGAGGATCTACAAGGAGGAGAAAACAGGTGCTGTTCAAAAATGGTTTGCTTTCCTGCTTGAAGATAGCATGGTGTGAGTTTGTAGTGAGTACAAACTGGTCTCGTTACTAGAAAAAATGATATGAGAACAGCATGTGCCCATACTTCAACCTATTAGAGAGCGTGAAGAGCACAGAAGGTGCTGGAAAAACTACTTTGGGGGGCCACTAGGAAAGAGGAGCAGGATCAGCGAAAGCAGGAGCAACCAGTATGGAGGACAGTGACACCCAAGTGGAAATGATTCAGAAGGCTCTTGTCATCTCTGGAACTAGGAAGCCACTTCCATGCTTTTGTTGAAGAGTGTTCCTTGGAGCCATCAGTGGAAGATCTACAGAAAACCTTTCTGGAAAGGGAGCAAGATGTTGGAGCCCAAAAGAATAGAAGGGATGGAACTGGAGAGTCAGTGTGGTGTAGTGGTTAAGAGCATGGGACTGGGACTCAGGCAGTCTGGGTTCTAGTCCCCGCTCAGCCATGGAGCCAACTGGGCGACTTTGGGCTAGTCACAGACTCTCAGCCCAACCTACCTCACAGGGTTGTTGTTGTGGGGATAAGATGGAGGAGGAGATGTGAGCTGCCTTGAGCCCTTTGTAGGAAAAAGGCAGAATATAAATCGAAATAAATAAATAAAAACTGCTCCCTGCAGCACAAAAAGAAGGGAGGTCATGGGTGCTGACTCCCTCCTTCAAGAAATAGAAGGGGATATGGGCCACCCAGACCTGTAGACACAGGAACAATGGTGTCTCCTCCAAATAACCCTAGCAGTTACTAGGAGAGCAGCTGTAGTGGGACTTAGAATCATAGCAAACCTAGAACATAGCGTTGGAAGGAGCCAGAGGGCCTTTGGGTTTAACCCCCTGCTCGGGACTCCAAGTTGAACCATCCCTCTCAGATGGCTCTCCAGCTGCACCTTGAGTGCCTCTAAATGTGGGAGAGCCCAAACCTCCCTGGGTAATTGGTTCCATTGTTGTGCTGCTCTAACAAGAATTTCTAGCCAGAACCTGGTTTCCTGTAACTTGAGCCCATGATTCTGTGTCCTGCACTCTGTGTTAATTGGGAGGTGATCCTGTTCTTCATCTTTTTGACAACCCTTGTCATGGTCAAAGCACTTTCTTCTGATGTTTAGGCTTTTGGCCTCCTTTGCCCTCTGAAAGGGTGGGGGACTTATTAAAATGATCCACCCCCGGAGACTAATGGATGGTAATGGTTTCCAGAGGGCTCTGAGGAAATTCCCAGCTGATATGGCTGGTTCTCCTGTCGAAGCTCAGGTCTTTCAGTGGAATGAGGAGATGGCCTGGGCAGCTGACATGATCATACTCAAGCGCCTTCTTCCCTTAGCGTACTCTGGTGAGGGTGGTGAAGAGTACTGTGTCCTCTCAGTGTCATCCAGCAGAGCTCTTCTGAGTGGTTTGTGGCCTTTTACAACCTGGGCCAGAGAAAGAATTCGTGGAACCCTCGGTAGCTCACTGTGATGAGTTTGCATATTACGTTGAGGGTAAAGTTGCTCAGTTTCACTGTGAATTACACTTCACATTAATACAGTTCCATTGCTGGAGGCACCCAGAGCCCCATCTGGTCCAATTTTGTTGGGTGAATTTCAGTTATTGAGTTCAGCCTGTCCACCACCTGTTTGCTTGCCCCTTGACCATTATGGCTTATGGCAGAGAGGTCCACCTGGCGCCGTCGTTATTTGTTTTTCGGAACCAGGCAAAGACCTTTTTATTCAAACGCTATTTTAATTGTTTGTTTGTTTATTTTTCAATTTATATCCTGCCTTTTTCCTACAAAGGGCTCAAGGCAGCTTACATCTCCTCCTCCATCTTATCCCCACAACAACAACCCTGTGAGGTAGGTTGGGCTGAGAGTCTGCGACTGGCCCAAAGTCACCCAGTTGGTTCCATGGCTGAGTGGGGACTAGAACCCAGATTGTCTGAGTCCCAGTCCCATGCTCTTAACCACTACACCACACTGGCTCTTTGTTAATATTATTTATTTTATTTTTCGGGCCAGGTCGACTCATATTGTATTGTTTTATACTGTTCGTATTTATTTATTATTATTGTGAGCCGCCCCAAGGCTTCGGCGAATGGGGCGGCATAGAAGCCTTCTAAATAAAATAAAATAAATAAATAAAAATAATTACTCTCAGTAAAGAAGGGATGGGTTTCTGGGTCCAGGAGATTGTAAATCCCTCTTTGAAAGAGGGAATGGTACCAGCATGTAAAAGAGACTGTGGTCAAACCACTCTGAAAAAATCTAACCTGGACCAAGAAGATGTTAATAGCAATAGGCCTGTGGCCTATTTCCCCTTCTTTCCCCTTCTTGGGGAAAGTATTAGAGCTGGTAGTGGCTGAACAGCTCCAGGCACTCCTGGGTGAAACTGATCATCTGCTCACCCTTTATTGTTTCCAGTGCCAGACAAAAAACTTCTCAAATTTCCAGATGACACAAACTAGGATGGATAGCTAATACCTTAGAAATCAGAAATAAAATTAAAATTGAAAATGATCCTAATATTTTAGAATACTGGGGAGAAAATAAGAGAATGAACTATAGTAGAAAACAGTACAAAGGTTTTCATTTAGAAATAAGAAATCCAATCTGCAGGTGTAATCTACAGAACACCTAGTTTGGCAGTAGCATGTATGAAAAAGGATCCTGGAGTTCTAGCCAGTCACCAGCTGAATATGAGTCAGTTGTGTGATGTGGCTGCAAAAAAGGCAAACAAATGTTTAGGTTGTATTTTAAACCACAGGAAGTGATCATTCCATTCTACTCTGCACTGCTCAGACCTCACCTCAAATACTCTATCCAGTTCTAGATATCTTACTTCAAAAAGGGTTTCTGATTAAATGGAATGAGTTCAAAGAAGGGAAACAAAGATGTTAGGGAATTAGGAACTAAGCTCTACAAGGAAAGATGAAAGAAACTGGATATGTTTCTTTCTGAAAAGAGAAGACTTGAGAAAAATTTTCAAGGATTGTCAAACAGAAGAGAGCTGCAATTTGTTCTCTGTAGAATATAAACTGCCAAGCCTAAGTTGGAGGAAGGCAAATTTCTGTTGAATATCAGGGAAAACTTGGTAATGGTTGAAGCAATCAGACAAGGGATCTCTGCAGGTATTAAGGGACTAGATAGGCATCTGCCAGGAGCTTCAAACTAGATTCTGGCACTGAGCAGGGGCTCAGTGCCAGAATGGATGCCAAAATGGTCCCTATTCAATGGTGCAAGACTGACAATGGGGTTGGAGGAGGACCATGCCAATACTAGAATGGTCCTAGTGGGTTGGATAGGCATGGTTCTTTGAGCAAGGCCCCAAGGGTCATGTTACTGTTCTGACCAAGTCCAAAACCAATTGGATAGGTTTCTAGATCTCCCATCTTTAGAAAATGGACATACAACACAACCTTCAGTCAAATATAACAAAAATAAAAAGATAGATTCCATAAATTATACAAAAGACCAACCTTCCTGCCAGACATTTTCATCCAAGGTTAACTTTATTCCAGCCAGCCAGATAAAGTTTTTATGTCTCCCATAACAGCTCTGGAGTGGTGAGCTGCTATGCAGGCCACAGCTTAGAAGCTTAGAAGGTCTGGGTTGCTACTATGCACAAATGGTAGGAGTCAGGTTTTTCTTCACAGGTGAAGCACGCCTCCCATGATACCGAGGATCCTACCGTGTAGAAGCCAAAGGTTTCATTCATGTTGCCTCTGATCATAGCTTGCCCAGGAGTCTGCTGGGGTCCCAGTGTTCTTTGTATGGAGCAACTGGAACATGTGAGCCCATTGAAATTCTCAGAAATCAGTAACCTCTTATTGTACTGCATTGCATCATGATACTGATTATATGTAAGCTGGCCAGAGAGCCTATGGCTAAACAGGCAGCATCGAAATCAAATAAATAAATAATAAATGGTAGTGTTTGATCTATAATGTTAAATATAAACTTTCTTTTAGATGTTCAGATTGCTGTCTAAAACCTATGCAGATGCACACCCCAGCATATCAGACAAATCAGAAATGCGTTGTGGTGGAAATTTCGTGAAACGAGGTGGTATCATAAATGGTGCTGAGTGGTATAGCTTTACTGGAGGTAAATCTTTTTAGCATTTTGATAATTCTGCAAGTTTTTTGAAGTTTGCAATCTTAAATAATTACAGAAGGAAAAGGTCTCAAGATGGAGAAGCTGATTCTCATATCAGTGGATTATAATAGCTAATTTTGGTGGGCTGAAGTCTTTGGTAGTGTGTCAGTGCAAGTCAAAAGAGATGCTCTGGCTATAGGTGATAATGCAGGTATGCATAGTTTACGACCGCCAAACCAAACATGACCCAGTAGCCACACATTGTGATAGCACCTCAGATGTTCAGTCAGGGTACTAAAAACTTTGCTCTTCAAACCCAGAAGTATCCAGTGTCATTTCCCCCAAGCCAACGAAGAAGATCTCTGCACAGAAACTCACTCTGAATTTCCAGACTGGCAACAGTGCGTAACAGTTAGATGGCTGCACATCTGCCTAAGAGCTCCACTGATTGTATATCTGTCAATGCGGCTAGGGATCAGCCTCCCAGGTGGGACCACTAATTGCACAGTGTGCAAGAACATAAATGGAACTGCATTGGGGGGCTGCAGGTGCCCAGCTGCTATACCTGCCTTCTTCCTGAGGAAGGCAAGCAGAATAGCACCTTCTTGGCTGCAGTGGCCATTGCAGTGGTGCCAGTGGCAGGCAGGATCAAGCCATTGACCAAAGTTGCCCAGAAGGAAGTAAGATCAAGTGGTCTGCTGGAGCTTCTCCTGAGTCCTCAGGGAAAACTGATGACCACCGTTCCTTGAGCAGCTTCCATTAGTTCAAGTCCATGGCCAGAGCAGGTTTTTTGCTGTTCTGGCCAAGGGATTATTTTACTTCTTGGCTTGGCTGTGACGACAAAGGTTGTTTTCTTCCCAACCTTTAAAAAGAATGAAAAACAGTTAACATTGGACTAAGAGGCTGTAGTGTGTCCAATGCGTACACCATGGCCATGACAGTTTGCAGTCCTGCATGAAGAATTCTTTTCAGAACTGTTGTGTGTGTGGGGGGGGGGGTTGTTTTTGGAAAGCATTCTTGGTAGAAGAATCTTCTGGTTTTTTGTAGGGATTTCATGTGGCCTTTGTCTGCCTTTGCTTCTGAGTGTGGATAGCACATATTCAAAAAGGAAAGCCATGGTCAGTGGTAAATGACTTGCTGCCACTCAGGGGGCATCTCAGTGCTTCTGCAGTGTTCCCTATACTACAGGAGGAGACAAGGCTGTGATCCATGAAGGGGAAGTGTATTATATACAAGTTCAAAACAAAGTATTCTTTCTGGAAAGGCACCTAGTCTTTGGTATACCCTCTCAAAGAAAGTACTCCCATTAGCAGGACTTACATTCCTTCTGGAACCCTAAAACCTTTTTATTTGCTTGTGCATTTTGAATTTTCAGTGTCTTGCATAATTTTTCTTCTTCTTGATTTTATCATATGTATGTTAATATTTTACTTGTTTGGATAACAGTGCAATGTATAAAATCTTTGATGAGACCTACAATTCTTCTCTTCTAGGAATGGCAGATTTTAATTACCTTCACACCAACTGTTTTGAAATTACTTTGGAGCTTGGATGTGAGAAATTTCCTCTGGCTGAAGAACTGTATTCACTCTGGCAGGAAAACAGAGAAGCCCTTCTGAAATTAATGGAAATGGTAGTGTTGTGTCTTATTTCTCTCTTCTGTCCTTTACTGAGTTGTCCACCAAGGATGGTTTGTTACCCTGGCTAGGTCCATGCTTGTTAACCATTCCATGCATGCTGGTCTCATTCTAAAAAGGCTGTATGGTAGTTTGTTACCCCACAAAAAGCCGTGCTCATTGGTTCATACAACAGAAGAAGCTGTGATGATAATTATACAAATTGGGGCAGCATGCAGCTGGCATGTGCCAAATGGTTAAAAAGCCATCCTGCAGTCATACTAACTGCCCTACTATTTGCTCAAGTGACAGGTTCTAGGAATGGCAATGTCTTCCCACAGGTATGACAGTCCTCCCACAGGTATCCCAGGGAACAATGCAGGAGGAATGAGTCGGCTCCCTGCCACTACTGTAAGCCGCTCCGGGCTCAATATATCATTTTTCCTTTTAAACTTCCTACATGCATTCTTCTTGGAGGTACACAGTGTGCACTTTGTCCCAAATCTCTGTGGGGTTGGGAAACTCTAAAAGTACATCCACACCATTTTTTAAAAAGGAAAGGAACAAAGATATATATATCCCAGTCCAAAACCACCAGTTCTCACTCAAAACCCCCTTTAAAGAATTTTTATGGCTAGTTGTCAAGCATGTAGAGCAGGGGTCCTCAAACTTTTTAAACAGGGGGCAACTTCACTGTCTCTCAGACTGTTGGGGAGGGGACGGACTATAGTTTGAAAAAAATATGAACGAATTCCTATGCACACTGCACATTAAAAATTAATTAAAAATAATTAAAATTAAAAAAATAATTTAAAATGTTTGTCCGCTCCCTCGGGCTGCAGCAGAATCCCAAGATGAGGTGGGGAAGAGCATGTCCATATTCAAGGGACATAGCTACGACACAACCAAGGCACTAAATATAGCATTTTGCATAATGCAGCTGATGACCGCAACTGGCATTTACAAAGAATGAAGCAAAAATACTAAGGATACATACTGTTAATGCCACTCAAAGTATTTGAAGCAAGTCAGCCCAGAACAATTCCCACAATACACAATGGTTGTATTTGGCTGGAGAGCTAATGTTACCATATTTTAAGTGCAACCTTGCCAAAACTGGTACTGTCCAGATGAGTTGGACTACAACTTCCATTGATCATGCTGGTTGGGCATAATGGAAATCATATTCCTCGCCACTGCCCTGGTTCCGAGGGAGTCAGAGCGGGAGTGGAAAGCTGGAGAGGCGAGCACAGGGCGGCTCCCCCAGCTGGGAGAGGGCTGCGAGGAGGTAGGTAAGGGCTTCTTTCCAAGGTGAGGGGAGGTGAGGGATGGGACCACAGCTGGCTGCCTCCCGCCTCTCCCCACCGTGAGGGAAAGAAGCAGCACAGCCACTCAACGGCGGCAGCTTGCCCATAGAAGGCCATGGCTCCTACGCCCCCGCCATGGCCTTCTCTGGGCAAGTCGTGGCCACCTTGCCAAGTCTGGGGGCAGCTGCTCAAGAGCGATGGTGGCAGTGGCTTGCCCAGAGAAGGCTGAGGTTTCTTGCCTTCTCTGGGCAAGTCACTGCTGCCATCGAGTGGCTGCCCCTGGGCTCGGCAAGGCAGCCGTGGCTTGGCTCACAGCCCGTGGACGTGGCTCACATACTTAAAAAATGGATTTAAAAACTTATATTTTTCTTACCTTCAATCCTTTTTTAGCATCTTCATTTCTCTCTCTCTTCCGCCCCCATCTCTTCTGTCTCCTGCTATGTATTCCAGCTCTGTATATGCGTGCAATGGTGGGGGAAGAGCTGGCACATGCGCAGTTGAAGAGAGCAGTTACAATTTGGTGTGTGTGCTGGCTCTCTGCTCAGTTTCAGAGAATGCCTGTGCCAGTTCAGAGCTTTTGGACTTGCTTGGAGATCATTTTCTCTGAGCAAGTCCAAAAGCTCTGAGGCAGGCTGGATAAATGGGCATGGAGGGCCGGATCCAGCCTGTGGGCAATAGTTTGAGGACCCATGATGTAGAGACTTCAGACAATACACAAGTCCTTCTTTGTGGTCTCTGTGAATCACACATATGGGTGCTGTACCTGCACAGTGCCTCCATTCTGGAAGTTTTCTCCAGCTGAGTATAGAATTTTTGGTGGGAGCCCCACCCCCTTCCTTTTTAGGATAAATAGGCAGGGTTCCCACCATTTCTCAGTTCACTTTCAACTACCATTTGCTGTGCCTTGGGATTCCTAGCTTTTTGTCAATATTTTACCTCAGAGCTTTACTCTTGTTCTTTTTTGCCTCTTTTTGCTATTGTCTGTTCCTATCCCCCTTTTCTCTCTTTGCCTCAACAGTCCTATATATATATAAAACCCTTCTATCGTCTCCCCTTTTTTACCTCAGACTTCATCTTCATTTTCCTCTTCTCCTTTTGATGGTGCCTTCAGAAAGTGCATCAGGTGCAGTGTCAAAATGCCGTCTACTGACGGATACTTATTGTGTGTCCAGTGCCTGGGTGAGGAGCACTGAGTTGACAAATGCTCTCACTGTCAGGCATTTACCAAACAAGCCCTCAAAAATAGGGCTGGATGTCTAAAAATGAAGCTGTGGGAAAGGGCCCTCATCACTAAGCTGGCAACAAAAACAATTGCCCTTCCACCTCTAAAGGGGCTTCCCCAAGGTGCCCTAACTCTACAGCAGCAGGTGCATCAAAACCAACTCTGTTGGTACTGAAGAAGTTGGCCTCCTCTGACCTTCAAAGGCACTGCAAAGAAAAGAGGATGCATTTAGTGGTGGAAGAGTGCAAAAGGGCCAAAAAGCTGGACAATGACAAGCCCTTGAAGAAACACAGACACTGGTAGCAACTTAACATCATGGTTTGCCTGTCCCACCAGTGACCCTGGCTACCACAGTAATGCCTGCCCTGCAACCTACACATGCCTCTGAAGCTGCTCCAATACCAGTCACTCCAACTCGATTGGAGCCTGCTCCGATCCAAACCGAACTGGCTCCACCAACGTCATTCTCTGAGGGAGAGATTCATGACTCTCCAGTTCATTCGCTGGCTATCCCAAAAATTCTGGCTTGATCACAGCATACACCATGCCATGAGGTAGAACCTTCTAGTCCTCCAACACCACAGCTTTATGGTTGGTATCTTTGAACATACTGCAGATCTTTCTCTATCAGTCAGTTCCAAGTTTCAAACTGGATACCCATATATACAGGAGGAATCTGTCCTGGGTACCAGCCCAGTATACTGGACGTTACTTTCCAGGATATCCATGAAAGCAAGCACCTGACCCAAGTGATTATCCATGGCCGCCAACCCATGCTTGACCCGGTGAGCAATGGACTCCAGTGCACTTGAGCTGTCATCCCATCCAGGATTCATCAACTGCTGGACACCATCCATCCAAAGGCCATCAACCACAGTCTGGTACCAAACAGAGATCACCTTCTTCATCATCTGGCTTATCCTCTTCCAGCTTGCTGGACTATGCCTTGAATTCTGATTCCCATCCAGAGTCTGAGGAACCAATTTCTATATCTCCTGACAACATTGTCTTGTCTCAAGGCCCTGGATCCCCAGGGGAAAGCCTAGGTCGCTTTTTGTAACATGTCCTCTGCATGGTCATGTCTCTGGGCATCCAAGCCCAGAAAGGCACCAAACCAGATGAAGACAGAGTCTACAATGTGATCCAAATGGAGGACTCTGTTCCTGTAGCAATACTGTTCATACCAAACCTGGTGGACACCATGAAGGAAACCTGGGAGTTTACCAACCAGCCTACATTGTGACAACTGGGGGGGATGTACAGGGTATGAGAGACATACCCTTTTAACTCCACCATCCATGCCTGAATACCATTGTTGTTGAGTCAACACAGGGCTGACAGCAAAGGGAACGCTCTGAACCAACTGACCATGAAGGCTGCTGTCTAGACATGCTGTCCCGGCATATATACTCTGCCATGGGACTGGGCCTACACATCTCAAACTACGAAGCCATCTCAAACGGGAGGTACCAGGCTTTTCTGTGGCAGAAGAGGGCTTGCCAGGGTCTTCATTGCTGAAGCTTTCCAACTTTCAAATTAGCAAATCACATCAGCTCGCCATCACATAGATTGTGATTTGAGGGCCCTTATTGGTGCAGTAGCTGTTTATAGACATACATGGCTTCAGGTGGTTAACCTTCCCCAGGAGTCTTGGTTGAGAATCAAGAACATGCCTTTTGATGAAGAATGCCTTTTCCATTTGAGGATGGATGAGTGCTTGGACACTCTCCAGAAGGCCAGAGTTATGGCCAGACATAGGGTTTTGGCTCCTTCCAGCCCAGAGCACATGTGGCCATGGACCCAAACATCATATTATCAGCAGTACCAATCCAGGCAACCAAATTCCTTCCCTAGGCACCAGCAGTTTGGGAAACACCTTCCATCCCAACAACACTGTTGAGACACTACCTGTTTTCAACAACCTAAAAGAAGCCCAGATGCCCAAAAAAGGCAATGTTGATGGTTAGTATGAATCAGTCCCTCTCTCTCCACCTTTCCCATTTGAGAAATCATCACATCAGATTGGTGGGTACTTTCCATAGTACATCATGGATACAAAGTGGAATTTAAAAATTTGCCACCTCTTGGAATCAGTTCAGATAACTCCCCCCCTCTCCAGTCCAAACAGAAGTAGTCACCATCTTAGTAACTAAGGGGGTGATTCACCCAGCCGACCAATCCAAAACAAAGCATGGTTTCTGTTTGAGGTAATTTACTGTTCCAAAAAAAGATGGCAGTTAGCATCCAATTCTGGGTCTGTATGGAGTGAACCATTCCATTCTGACCAAAAAATTCGGAATGGTCTCTCTGCAAGGCATTTTGCCACTACTACAAAGACTGGTTTGCATCCATAGATTTGAAGGATACATATTTCCACATAAGAATCCGCCCAGACTATACCCATTTCCTATGATTTCAAATTGCTATCAACCCTTACAAATCCAAAGTTCTACCATTTGGTCCGTCTACATTGCCAAGAGTTTTTGCC